GCCCGAGGCAATGCTGCCTCTCCCAGCTGTTTTCCCACATCCTCCCCGTTGGAATGAATCACTCAGTCTTCTATAATCCCAGAGAATTTTGCTAATGCTTCAGTTAAAGGGTTTTCCCCTGGCTCCGCTCCTTTCACTGGGGCTGGATCCTTTTGTTGTGTGTCTGTCTGTCCACTGGTCCACTAGATGGATACTTCTGGACAGGCAGCATCAGACTCTGTTCATCTTTCTTTCCCCCTCCCCCCAGGCTCCAGCGTACACACAGTACACCACAGGTGCTCACTAAATGTTACTCATTAGTAACAAGACTGTCAAAAACACAGCTGGGGACTCTGCTCTGCCATCACCTAAGTCCAGGTCCCCCCACCAGCTCTCACCTGCAAACCAGCAGTAGCCTAACTGGTCTCCGTCGCTGACCAGCTTGCCCCTATCCCGCCCCCCTGCCTCCCATTTGCTACACTCCAGGGCCAGCACACCTTTAAACATGTAAATCTGAACTTGTCAAACCTCTCAGGATCCCCACTGCGTTTAGGGTAAAATCACAAACCCTTCCAGTGTCCTACAGGGCCCGCTGGGGTCAACCCCAGCTCCAACTCCACTTCCCCTTCGTGCTCCAGCCACACCAAATCTCCTTCCTTCCCAAAACTCACCAAGTCGTTTTTTGCGTGTTAGCTTTGGAGGTGCCCTTCCCTCCTCCTGGAACAGTGCCCGCCTCGGCGCTCCGCCCGCCTTCACCTTGCTGGCAGCTCCTCAGGGCGGCTCTCCTTCCCTGGTGCTCTGTTGTGCATCTCCTTTGGGGACATCTGCCCATGCCGAGTCCCCGACTAGCACACAGTAGGCATGCTATCTGTTCAGTGACTAGCAGGAGGACCCTTCTAGGCGCCTCAGTTTCCCTGAGGATGAGGGTGAGGGGAACTGACCCTTTTCTGCTGGGGGCTGATGGCTTTAAGTAGCTCTCACATACACGGAGAAGCCTTCCTCCCGACCCACTACTGCAGAGACCACTCTCGTCCTCTCTGTCAAGGCTGTGTTTCTGCCAGGCTGGGGTGGGGCTGGAACTGGATTATAATTTATAAACAGACACGGGGTGCCTCCTGGGTTTCACCGTTTGGAGTGCGCATTTACGCCAGTCCCCCTCCATATCTGCCACGTAAAGGCTGGGAATCTGTAGTGTGCGGCGGGTTCCAACTCTGGCTCCATCACCTTCCAGCTGGGGACTAGGGACTTAACTGCCACCAATCTCGGTTTCTTCATCTGTAAAATGGGGCTGATAACAGTGCCTACTTCCCAGGGTTGTTGTGAGGAGTCAAAAGGCTCCTACCTTTAAGACGCTTAGTGCTTGGAACTTACAGTACTTGTCACAGTTATTGTTGTTATTATTTTTATCAGATGGAGCATTCACAGGAGTTAGGACCTGGTTAGCCGGGGTTCCCTCTCTATAAAACCTTGACTTCAAGTATTACTCCCCAGAAGCCTTATTTTTTCAACTTCCGTAAGAAACTCCAAGAAGTTCACGCGGCTCGTTTTTAAGTCAGCAACGGCTTTTCAACGATGGGTTGGGGGGAGGGCACTGTACTAGGCTCTGGACGCACAAAGATCATCAGTAAGACCCACTTCCCGTCCCAGAGAGGAAAACAGATCAAGCAATAATCACAGTTCAGTGGGGCACGTGGCGGTGGCCCACAGACTGTGGGGAGAGGAGAGGATTTCAGGGCATGGGCAGGGACGCTTGGGGTGCCTGGGGAACCCTGGGGTAAATGGAGAGCAGAATGCATGGGAAGAACGGCCACAAAGTCCCCTCCAGGGTGTGAGATTCATTGGGAAAGAGGCTGAGTGAGCTCTGCAGGTGAGGAATTGGGTCTGTATCTCCCAGTAGACTGAGAACCTTCTTTGTCCCAGACCCGGCTGGGGTGGGCTGGGGTGGGGTGGGGGCATACCAGACCTAGACAGAGCCCCTGCCCTCCTGGACCAGTGTGGCTGTCCAGTGGAAGAGACAATGACAAGAATTAACAGATTCCATGCTCCTCTCACACCCTCCTGCTCCCCCACCCCCATCCCCACAACCCTGCTAGAGCTGAGGCATCCAGGAGCCTGCAGGAGGTATCCTGAGAATAAGCCCTTGTCCTTGGCCGCAGAGAGGGCAGTCTCCAGATCCCTAGTGGGAGTGCAGTCTCTCGAGATGGCATCTTCAGCCTGGGGGTTGGGACTGCATCCCCTCCTCCCTTACCCTGCAGCACAGCCTTTTAAGGGGGTGACCCTCTGACCTCTAGACCGGTCCCCCTCACCCTCCAGCTAGAAGCCCCTGGGGCAGGAGCTTAAGGCAGGAAGGCTCCAGAGGCCTCAGGTTTAGATGCAGATGGAAGGCCAGAGTTGAGCCTTAAAAGATTCTGGAGTCCCCTGGGCTCTCCTGGGGATCTCAACCAAGGCCAGGGGCCTAAGTTGGGTCCATGGGAGTGCAGGGCCGAGATGCGGGTGCCTGGCCCAAGAGGAGGGAGGGGGCGATGTGCAAAGGGTTCAGGCGAAGGAGCTGGCGGGACACTGGGAGTCTAGGATGCTGGGTGGGGGTGGGAGGGCGAGGGGTCCGGCCGGTGCAGGGGGGGCGGCCCCCGGGGAGGGGCACGCTATGTCTTTAAGAGCTGCCTGAGCGCAGGTTGCAGCTGCCTGGCCAGCCCGAGAGACAGCGGAGATTCATTACCCGCCGACACAATGACCATTGATGGCCCCGTGGCGTTATTCAAATCCAGTACCAATTGCAGCCGAGCCCCTTTCTCCGCGCCAGGCCCGTATTGTTGGAGCGGCCCACTAAAAGCCCGCCCCGGCCCCGAGCCGCCAGAGGCGCCCGCTCGGGCTCAGCCCTGCGCCTCGCCAGCTCGCCGGCTCCCAGCCCGGCTCCCCGGGCGCTGCAGGTGACCCGGCGGCGCATTCCAGCGCTCCCCGCCGTCCCAGCCACTGCCGCCACTGCTACCGCCGGCGCCCCGGCCGCGACTCAGCCACAGGGAAGCGGAGAGCGCCCGAGCCGGTGCGTGCGCGGGGCTGGGCGGGGGCGGGAGACCCACGAGTCCAGCAGCCCGGACCCCGGGTTCGGAAACGCGACCCGGCCTCGGGTCCCTGTTTTCCGGATTCCCGGCGAACCCGGGGAGCCCAGGCTGGGGGCGGGGAGAGGGGAGTCGGGGGTTCCCCGGGACTGACAGAGGAGAGTCCCCCGACCTGGGGCGGCGTAGAGACCCAACGCGGGCTACTCTAGGGACCCCGGGCCGCGATCGAAGGAGACACGCGCCAGGAGCGACCGGGATCCCCACGCAGGGTCGGGATCCGCGTGCTTGCTCGTCCACCTTACCGCGGGATGGGCCGCGACTGCCGAGCATCTGCGAGGTCCGCGAATCTCCGGAGATCTGGTCCGGCGCTTTTAAGGAGCGAGGCGGAACCCCGCAGGAGACCGGGGCCCTGAACTCAGGGGCTTCGCCACTGATTGTCCAAACGCAATTCTTGTACGAGTCTGCGGCCAACCGAGAATTGTGGCTGGACATCTGTGGCTGAGCTCCGGGCACGACAGGGGCGGGAGCCGCAGGGACCGAGCTCAACGCGGGCGAGACTCCTCGGGGTGGCGGCTGGCTGGACCCAGCGCGAGGATCGCGGCCCTGGCCAGGCGCGCGAAGGAGGGACACCGGTCCCTGTCACCAGCGCCGCCATCCTCCTCCCCTCGTCGTCGTCCTCGTTCTCCTCCTCCTCTGCGGGTGACCAGTCCTGGCTGGCGGGGTCCTCCAAGCGATAGCGTCGTTTTTCCCTTTTTCAAATTTCGGCCGGGAACGAAGCTGGCACGCCGCGGCGCGGCCCAAATGTGGTCCGGGGAGCTCGCCCTCGGCCCGAGCCGCAGAAAGTCCGGGACGAAAGAAGATGCCGGCGGACTGCGCTTGCTAACTCGTTTTGAATTGATTCTAACCCATCCTCCCCCACCAGTATCCCCTAAGCAAGCCTAAACCGACCCCTAAATCCCAAATAAACCGACCCCTCCCGCCAGCCCCTCCAGACCGACCCATGGGCTGGGTCTCCTCCAGCCGCGGCTGGAGTGGGAGAAGCGTCGGGAATGATGCGCTCATTGCCCCAGCGGGGCAATCGCCTCGGCTTTGGAAATAGAACTTGGACAAACGAATTCTTTTCATTAAAGACAAATTTTTGGAGATAGTGGGGCTTATTTATTTATTTCCTCAAAAGTGGGTTCAGGAGTTGCGGGGTGGGGGGGCAGTTGGGTGTCACCGGGTCTGAGCCCAGGTCATCTATCCCTGACCCTTTTCGCGCCCAAGCTGAAAATGACCCAAAATGCTTGGAGTGTGGCCCTGGCCAATTTCAGCCGTGATGCTGGCATCCCTCGTTTCGGTGGAGAACCTGGCTTCCCCAGCACGTCCTCCTGCCCTGCTCCTCAGCATTAACTGGCACGCTGTGGAGGAAGGGATATCCCGTTTTCACCCCTCCTCTCCCCAGTGCAGGCAGGAAAGGATTCCTCTCGCCCAGTTCCCAGGACTTGGAATCCTGCGGGGGTGGATCCAGGGGCACTCCGAAGCTCAGCGGGGCTGGAGGCAGGAAGGCACTTCCAGGTTACAAGAACCGGGACAGGTGGATCCTTCAAGTGAGGCTGTCCCTTACCCTGTTCCCTAACATGCAGACCCCGACCTCAGCACCTAGTGCGGGCTGGTCATACAGCCTCTCCCTAGACAGCACCTGCACCGTAACCTCAACATGGCCACTCCCACACACACACACATACCCAGGGGGCCTCCACCGGCAGCAGTGCTGGAGAGCAGCTCACCAGCCCGGGGTCGTCTGCCCACAAAGCCTTGAGAATGATGTGCACACACCACCGCCAACACTGTTAAGACAACCATTTGGCACTTTCGTCTCCAGAGTGAGAGAAATTCCATCTTAAATTATTAACATTTAATGGAAAGCAAAGTTTGGGGGCGGGATGATGTTAATGCCCTAATTTTTTTTTTTTTTTTTTTTGAGGTCTCCCTCCAGCAAACAAAGCTTTTCCTCCAGGTCATGGGAAGTGGGGCTCTGCAGTCTTATCTATGCCTCCTCCGTCCTGAGGCCGCTGGCTGCAGCTGGTGGGACAAAGCCTGGCCTCGGACAGACGGGTAGGGAAGTATCTCGGGACGCAGGCTGGTCAGCACAGACCGGCTCTGCCACCCCTTCTCCAGATGGCCCGTCCTATCACCCTTTCTCGGAGTCTGGATAGTCTGGCTTGCAACCCCTGCTCTCTTCTCGGGTGAAGGGAAGTTCTGAAAGCCCTAGGCTGAAGACAGAGGTTGGACCAGAGACCACGGCTGGGGGAAATGTGGGGTGCCACCGGTTTCTAAGGACGAAGTTCCAGGCAAGGCCAGTAAACAACCTAGTCTTTTATTTGCCCAAGGCCAGCTGTTGCAGGCACTGAGGCCCCAAGACTTCCAGAAGGGATGGAGGGAGGAGGGGTGAACCATCCTGCCTACCAGGTGCTGCCTGCCCCCATCCTGCTTCCTGCAGGAGGAGAGAGAGGAGATCAAGTGTACATTTGTGCCATCAAGTATCTCCGCAGTTTTCGGATACTATAAAAATTCAGTTGTTGTTGAGGAGGAAACTGAGGCACATTGACCCCCCCAAGCCTCTATCTGCCAGTCCAAGGTTTAGCCGACACCCTCCTTCTCTCCCCGCTCAGCAGAATGAGCTGCACGCTGGCAGCCTCTTGCCGGGAGGAGCGTCTCAGGAGCCCATCTGGTGGCCTGTGTGGGGGGAGGCCAGCCAGGGTCAAGCACTGTGGGTGGGGGAGCAGGAGGAAGGGTGCGGCTGGAAGAGCAGCTGCTGTGGGGGGGGCAGCACTGAATAGGGGACCCCAGCTGGGGCTCCACAATGATATCAGTGGGGGACAGGCAGAGCCCTCTGCTGTCCAGATGGGGAAACTGAGGCGGAGACCCCTCCAATCTTTGAGAAGGGAGGGGCCTGCCATCAGCTATTCAGGTTCATTCATCTTCCCCCAGGAAGGCACCACGGCCCAGGAGCTGGAGTGCCTCGTCAGCGGCCACTCAGTGTTTAGACTGAGACACAGGAGTAGAGAGCTGCCGGGTCACCTGGCCGCACAGACCCCTCCACTCCTGACAAACTAAGGGGCACCCTCCCCCACCTCAGCTGCTGGGAGAGGGAGTGCCGGGCTCCGGCGCCTGCCCGCCTGCCTGCCTTCCCCTGCTCACGTGCCTGAGAAAGGCTCATTTTTAGCACCTGGCCTCTTTTCCCTGCCTGGAGGGAGCTCAGGGGACAGAGTAGGGAAGAAAGCAGCCAAGGGAGACAGGGAGATCTGGAAGCAGGGCCCAAGGGGATGTCTGATTGTTCTGTTCTCCCCACCCCAAGGGGGCCCAGGCACAGAGAAGGGCCCTTAGCCGCCGTGCAGCGTGGATATGAAGAGGATGCTGTCCTGGTCCTGAAGCTGGTAGTCCAGCTCACCCTGGTCCAGAAGAGAAATAAGAAGACCGTCAAGGGCACTTTTCCAGTTTCTCCCCAGGTGTTGAGAGGGAAAGAGGGGGAGCCTGGCTGCTCTGGGAGAAAAAGATAGGATCTACCAGAAAAAAACGGGTACCCTATACATTAACTACTAGCAAATCTCCAGGGTGGAGGAGAGCTCATCACTTCCCCCAGCTACCCATTCCTTCCTCACTTGGGGTGGGAGACTCAAGTAGCCTCAGTCTGGAGGCCAGATCGGGACAGAGGATTACGTAGACACCCTATTTGCGTCTCAGGAGAGGCCCAAGGCTTTCCTACCAAAGCAGTGAGGGGAGTGGTTGAGGGAGGGCTGTCCCCCGAGGTACTGACCAGCAGTTCCCAGTCGGCATCGTTAATCAGCACCAGAATCCCTGGCCGCCTGTGGGAAAGATGGTGGTGAGTAGCAGGGCGTGAAGGGCGGGAGCTGGCTGGGGCAGGGGCAGAGGCTTAGACATTTGGGCCGCAGGAGTGTGGTGGGAGCCTTTTCTCTCGAGGGTCCCCATTAAAGTTCTCCCAGGGAGTGGAGGCGATAGGAAAGTCTGAGGGCCAGATGCAACACAGGTGCAAATTCCCCTGCCACCTCCCAGACCTCAGGCAGGTCATTTTGTTGCCCTGAGCATCAGTTTCTTCATCTGAAAACAGGGTAAATCACAGCGCCTTCCTCACGAGCTCTGCGGGAGCATGAAGTGGGATGATGCGTGTGAGGTGCTTGCTTGCCAGGGTCTAGCATGGGAACCCCTGGTAGCAGCCTATCTTTCCAGGGGTCTAACCTCACTGTCCTAGGCCTCCCGCATGCGCGTCCTGGAGAGGAGGCTACCTTGGCTTTTCTGAATCAGGGAAACCTGCTAGTGGCCCCAAGCCCCTGAAGGCCTGAGAGCAGCCCTGCCTGGAGTAAGGCAGGGCAGGCCGATATTTGGACAGGTACCTTAGCCTGGTTCCTGCTGGCAATGACCCAAAGAGCATTGCTGTCCTCGGGGGTGACCTCCACGACTGTTGCACCATGACCTGAGCCACAGGCTGGATGGCAGCCCTAGCCCCCAGGGCCTACTGGTGAACCTCTGCTTCGAGGCAGATGAACAAGTCCCACAAATGCCCTGGTCACTTCTGTGACATATCAGGCTGGCCTTGTTGTAGGACTATAGTGAGTTCATGGCACATGGAATCTGGATCTTTTCCTAGGAGGCTAAGCTGGGCCTGGGACAGATACAGAAGCTTTGGGCTGGGCTAGGGGTGTCCCCAGCGAGCATGAATGTGCATGTGTGCGCACACACATGCAGTGACTCCCTGTAATCCTAGACCTGCACTGTCCAGCCCGGTATTTACGAGCCACATTTAAATTTAAATTCCATTTAAGTAACACTGAACACTTAGTTCCTCAGTCACACTGGCCACATTTCAAGGGTTCAATATCCTCACGTGCCTAGCAGCTACCGTACTGGACAGCACAGATAGAGAACATTTCTATCATCACAGAAAGTTCCATGGGAGAACACTGTCCTAGGTTGTCAAGCGATGAGAGAGACCTTGGGTAGCATCTTTTCCTCAGTAATGTCTGTATGGAGAAAGTAGCTGAGGCCCAGAGAAGGAAAGTAACTTGCCCAAGGTTCCACAGCAAGTTTGTGGCAAGCAGAAGGTGGAATCTAAGTTTTTTGATAAATTTACCAGTCTCCAATGTGGTAACAAGAAAACTGAAAATAAACTTCAACAGAGCTGGACAGAGGCAGCCTTTTCCTTGGAGGGCTAAGAGGAGGATAAAGGGAGAACAGGACCCAGAGAAGGTTGTGCTTGAACCAAGGACAGGGGCTCAAACCTCCTTCCCTTCACCTGCCCTCCTCAGAGAAGGGAGAAAGGGACTCACACGCTGTCTCCCCGGATGAACAACTCCGGCCGCTCTTTTAGCAAGTTCTTCTTGATCCAGACAAGGAGGTTCCGGATGTCCCCTGGAGAAGAAGGCACAAAACAAACTAATGTCAAATCCAAATGATTCCTGGCCCTCAGGGCCTTGCCTGGACCAGGAGGAAGTGAATATGGGGCTGAGAGGGCCTCTTTTAGATCGGGCTGTCATGGCCCCTGAACTAGTGGATTCCCAAGGTGAGGAAATGGACCTGGAGAGGTCTTCAGAGAAAAGTGGCATCTGGCACTGCTGAAAGCTTGAAGAAGAGGCAATGGGGATGCAAGGCAGACAGCAAGAGGAATGGTCACGTCTGAAAGGGTTGAGAGACAGACCTCCACCCACTAGCCCTTGAAGATGGTCTGAAACCGCCATGGGTAGGCTTCTGGGAGAGCCCCTCCACCTTTATCTCCCCAGCCAGTCCCAGATGGGGAGCATTCGGCTTTGCTCTTGGAAGGTCTGCATATATTTCCCTTTGTCAGGGAAGAAAAACAATTGCTGAGCCGATAACATCATTTAATTTCCTCTGACAGAAGGAGAGAAGGATCCTTCACCAGCCAGAGACGCTGACAAATCACTGCCCCTCTACTCCCCCTTCACAGAGCCCTCCAGGCCAGGGGCGGCCACCCTGAAGAGGCGAGAGGTTCAGGGTCGAAAGGGCCTCTCCTGCTCAGCTGGACACTGCGATCTGCCTCTGTGGTTCTGGGACAGCCACCAAGCTCGGTACGTCATCTGGAGGCTCAGAGCCCCCTGTCTCCCAGGCCTTCTCTCCTTCTCTGGGAGCCAGGTCCCAGGCCACAGCACACTGAAACCCGGCTCTATCATCTCCTCGAAGGCTATGGCTCTCAACGATCTACGGCTCAAACAGAGCATCCCTGAGGCTGCAGGAGTAGCCTTCTCAGAGACTAGCTGAGATGACAGCTAGTCTCTGAGAAGCCAGCAGAGGGCTGGAGGTTAGCCATCCCCATCCCGAGTCAACGTCTCAGAGGGGTCTCTGTCCTAGGTCCGTGCCTGAGACAAAGCTCAGGGACTAAGCTGGAGAAGGGTCCAAGCAGTGCCTTGGTTTCCCTAACTGGAGGTGGACTCCTGGCACGCAGGCGAGGGAAAGGCTGCCAATTAAGGAGAGGCCCAGCGCGTGTCACACACAGCACCAGCCTTGGGCAGGGTTTTATGGCACTCAGGCAGGCTGCACCCTGGATGGACTGGTTCACTCTGCTCTGTGCCAGCTTCCCTGGATCGTACGCCAGTAGAGCACAGGGCCATGGGCAAAGTGTCCACAGACACTGAGACTGCGCCTTTCAATTTTAACTCCTATTTTTAAACAAAGCAGATGGGAGTCTTCACGGTCCCTGGAGTGGGCAGGGGACAGGGAGTGTTGCCTCCAACTAGCTGCAGTCCATTTAGACTCCTGGCTGGGTTCCTCCCAGAGGCCTGGGTTTCAGAGGTTTCCCCTTGGCCTCCATCTTGGCACTGTCTGGTGGGCCGCCAGCCCATACATCTTGTGGCCGCTCGATAGAGCCGCTGGGGTCTGACACATCCATCAACCAGCCCCGGCAGGCAGGGTTGTGCCTGTGTGCGCAGAGGCACTGAGGGACTGGGCAGTGCCTGGCCTGAGGGCCACCAGCTGCACCTCCACAGCCCCCACTGGCCTGTTCAGAACCAGGACCCAGTTGGGTGGCAGCCCTGGCTCCCTCCGAGAGGGGATTTCTGCTCCACTCTCGTAGGCTGGGGGTGGTGGGGAGGACTAATGGTCATGTTGGGGTCATCCAAGTGATGGCACCATCGTGGAGGCCCCAAGGGGTGGGCTTGGGGGGAGTCTGCTGTGGGTGCTGGCTCATTTATCATGATGCTTCTCTTTGCTGAGGTCATTCCCTCCCTCCTCTGCGCCCCCCAGGCCTGCCCACATTCTTGATAGCCTGTTACCATGGTGAGGCCACCGCATCACCACCCGTATTGTTCCCCCATGCCTGGATTTGGGGGTGGGGAGAGGTGGAACTCCCGACTCCCTTCGCAGGCTGCAAGGGCCACTCCGCCTAGCCTGAAACACACCCCCAGGGACATCGTGCTAGGCTTGCCGAGGCCCAGACAATATGCAAATAGCCTCCAAGCCAGATGGTCAGCTTCCAAAGGCGCCCAGGGGAGGAGGAAGGGTTAAGCAGAGTCAGGGGCTGGTGGCTCGGGGATGGCTCTGGGGAATCTCACTTGCACCTTCCCCCTCTGTGTCCTCCTGCCTTCCCATTGCTACCGATGGTGGCTTACCTCATGGGATCCCATGAAATCACTCACAAGACAAATATTTACTGAGCAGCTACTACGTGCCAGGTGCCAGGGAGACGGCGGAGAGTAAGGCGGACACAGAGCCTACCCTCATGGAGCTAAGAGGCCAGCAGGGGAGACAGACATTACTTAATTAGTCGTGACAAACACCCTCTCCTTTGTGTGGGATCAGGAAGGGCTCCCCGGAGGATATTAACACTGAAGCTGAGGCCTGAAGGATGAGAAGCGTGGGATGCGGGAGTGTGCCAGACAGAAGGAAGAACATATGGGAAGACCTGAGGCAGGTTGGAATTGGCAGGTTCAAGGTAATAGAACAGAGAAGGCCAGAAGATCAGCCTGAGACAAGGCCAGAGAGGTAGCAAGGGCTGGACTATGCAGGGCATGTGTGGGCCTTGAGAAGGGGCTGCTTGGGAAGAGGCCTCTCCCTCCTCGGGAGCCCCAGGGGTATTTCCTGAGTGTGAGCCCCAGCATGCAGCAGGGAATCTCTCACACAAAACGCCCCTGAGACGTTTACTGAGCACACGGACAACTGTGGGCGGAGCGGGGGAGGAGGACTGGTTAAGAATGGGACTCAGCCCTGGGTCTGAGTTCGACTCCATCACTTCCTAGTTATATGACCTTGGGCAAGGAATTCTCTTGAGCTTCCTTCTTTGTCAATTGGGAACTGTAAGAATGCCTCATAGTGTTGTTGTGAGGCTCAAATAAGATGGTCCACATAGAGCTCTTGGCACTGTGCCTGGCATAGCGATGCTGTAATTCTTCTACAAGCCAGAGGAAGAACCTGTACCCTCTAATCTCTCTTGCTGCCCTGAGCTTCCACATGCTCTGCCCAGGGGCCTGGCACCTCGAGGACATGCTTAGGAAGCTCTGGAGGGTGCGGTACAGTTAACTATTGAACAGACACTGCTGGGACTGGCTGGGGTTTTCTGTGGGATCTACTACCTTTCTATCAGACCTGGAGAGGGAATGAGAGAATGGGGGCATTGGGAGAGTGGCGAGGGGGCCCCAAACACCGGCCTTCCCTCTACTTTAGATTTTCAAACTCCTAAGATGCTCCCTGGACAACCTAGGTGGAAGGAATCACACTCTGAGGGCAGGCAGCCCAGGGCAGGGAGATGGGCACCCCAGTGTAAGGTTTCCAGTGCAGGAAGCCTTGGGACCTGGCCTGCCTACTGGGGGAAGAGCAAGTGATGGGAGCTACTGCTCCCATGGCAGAGGGGTTAAGAGCTCCGGTTCTGGAGCCGGAAGGCCCTGGGCCGTGCACTAGATGGCCCTGGGTGGGATATCACTTGACCTAAGTCTCAGGGTTATCCTCTAACAAATGGGGATAATAATCCAAACTCCTAATGCCAGCAGCAGGCCCAGCAGTGTCAAACAGACCAGACAAATGCACATTTGCCCACAGTGACTCAGGATTGCTTATCCTGTGGGCTGCCAGAACCTTCTCCTAAAGGCTGCTGGGAAAGGGGTACCACACATGCCCCTCTTAGCACCTACAAAGGGTCCCACCAGAATCCTGTGCCCCAGTGGATTTGTCCTTGTCTGGGGACAATAGCCACCCACTGTGGCAGGGCCCCCGTGGTGTCCTAGCTCTCTGGTCTCATCTGATATTGCATCTCGGCTGCGGTGGACCCTCATCCAGCCTCTTCTTGAAGGCCTCCGGGGAGAGCTTTTCTCCCAACCAGAAATCTGGCTTCCTGTCCCTCCCACCCACCAAGCCTGGCTAGTCCTGGGGACCACGCCAACAAATGTGGCTCCGCTTCCCCACACCATGCAGACTTGGGAGAGACGGATCCCCTACGTCTTCTCTTCCACAGGTTAAGCCGCTCCTGTCCCCACCAAGTCCACCAGGCTCCAGGACAGGGCTCTTCTGGGAGCCCACCCCAGGCCTTAGTTGAAAGGGGAGAAGAAAGAGCTGGGATGGGGGGAGTAAAAGACAAGAGAGGGTAGAGGGAACATCAGAGGGTCCATTTACAAGTGAATGGGGGTAAGAATGGAGCAGTTTGTGGGCTAAACTGGCCTCAGAAGGAGGTTTACAGATGTGCGTGGGGACGCTCCTCATTGTTTAATTAAGCAGAAAGTGGATCTTTTCAAAAGCAATTTTGCACAGGGACTGAGAGTGGTTGGGGGGAGAGGAGGGTGGTGGGGAGGGGATCAGCAAACAGGCCCCAGAGCAGAGAAAGGAACAGCTGGCCCCAGAGAGGCTGTGAAATGCATGCTAAGCAGTTTAAAGCGCCTGGGAGCTCCCTAGCCGACCCTGCCTCCCGCGCCAGCCCCCCTTTAATACAATGGCAGGGCAGAGAGGCAGGGAAAGGTGAGGCAGACGAGTCTCTTCCTGGGGGCCAAGGCAGGTAATGCCCACACTGGGACGGCCGAGGTTTTGGGTTTGCTTCAGGCCACTGACCAACCATGGGCTGCGAGCCTTGTGTTGAAGGAATCCTTGAGGCATAAAAGCCAGCTCTCGGTGGCCAGTGCCCAAAGCTGGTGGGTGCCTCCCAACCGTGGCCACTCAAGGCCTATTCCATGGAGGTGGCGGTTAAGGACCCACCCCCCTTTGCCCTGCACACACAACTGCTCATTGGATCAGTGCACCCTGTTTCCCAGAACCATATACTTAGAACTGCAAGCAACTTTTCCAAACTGCATATGTCAAACAGATAACCAGCTCACTACAGACTAAATCCAGCCCAACTTCCCATTTTACAGGTGGAAAAAAAGAGGCCTGCAGAAATAACTAATTTGCCATCACGCGCTGCCAGGGCTCCTCTCTTGCGATCTCACCCACTTTGGCCTTGCCCAGCCTCTTCTCCCAAGTTGGCTGGGTTGGAAGCTCTCCCCTGGCCCAGGACCCAGGGCCCTGTTTAGTCCCCTTGTTTGTGAGCCTTGTCACAATCCATGATCTTATGGCTGCTATTTTCTCTGCTGGAGTCTCCAAGACCTGCTTGGCCAAGTGGCAGCCCCTGGGCTGGGAAGGCTGCCAGATGGCAGATCTGGGCACGGGCTTGGGGGAAAGAGTGTTACTTTCCCAGTGGCACCAGGCCCCTGCCCTCCTGTTGGGTTCCGTGTGCCAGGGTGAGGCCTGGTAGCTGCCAACCAGCTCTGCAGCTGTGATGTGACTTACACCTCTGGGCACAGAAGGGCAAACATGGAAGCCAGAGGTAGAGATCCACAGCCAAGGGTCCAAAACTGAGCACATGGGCCATTTCCGCTTGCCGCTCCTGCTTCCTTTTCTTTATTCCAGAGTGGGAAGGATAGGCCCCCACCTGCCCCCTAAGCAGTAGACAGGGGATCCAAAACCTGGGTCTCAGCCCAGCCTCCCTACTTGAGTAACTCTGGACAGGTCACTCTCTTTCTCTCTGTGAGGTTTGGTTTCCTTGTCGATAGATAATATATACTGGGCTCATTATGAAAATTGAAATAAGTAGCTGTTGGAGGCATGAAAGAAACTGTAAAAACTGGAAAATACACTGCACGTTTGAGATGTTATGTGATTCAGGGAACCTCTTGGGATAAATGGTAATGGGTTGGGGCTTCCCTGGTGGCGCAGTGCTTGAGAGTCCGCCTGCCGATGCAGGGGACACTGGTTCATGCCCCGGTCTGGGAGGATCCCACATGCCGCGGAGCGGCTGGGCCCGTGAGCCATGGCCGCTGAGCCTGCGCGTCCGGAGCCTGTGCCCCGCAACGGGAGAGGCCACAACAGTGAGAGGCCCGCGTACAGCACAAAAAAAAAAAAAAAAAAAAGGTAATGGGTTAGTGGTAACATGCAAGGACGGCGGCGACCCTGACATCTGCTTCTGAACCCCAGCTCTGCCATTTATATAACAGCATGACCTGGGGTAAGACTTTTGACATCTCTGGGTTTGGGTTTCCACTTTTTAAAATGGGAATAATAATGATAGCTACCACCTAAGAATTTGTGACAATTATTGGTACAACCAGCTGGGGCTTTGCCTACCATGCCACACTCAGCCTGTGCCCCTTACAACACTGGCCTTCCTTCAGGTCCTTGACCACCCCAAGGCCTTCTGCCCAGGGGCTTCACAAGTGCCGTCCTCTGTACTTGGAGTGGGCCCCCTGCATCTCTACTCTCCCTCCAATTTATTAGGGTGGCTTCTTTCCGTTCCTCAGGACTTAGCCTCAAGGTCACCTCTGTAAAGAGGCCTTCCCTTACCACCCTGTTGTCTCATTCAAAGCACCCTTTTGTTCTCCTCATGCCAGTGATGACCACTTGTTCAGTTACGCGTTTGCATGTTTACTTCTTCACTGCCTGGCTCCACTTCCATTACTCTGTAAGCTCCATTAGGGCAAGAACCATATCTGTTTTGCTTACGACCAAATACCCAGCAACTAGTACAGTGCCTGGCACAAAGGAGACATTCAAAAACACGTGTGCCAATTACAGGAAAGAATAAAGTACTTACTTCCATGCCTGGCACTTGGTGCCAATGAATGAATGAAAGGGGCTGGAATGATTAAACTCGGGGACTTGCATGCCAAGCAAAAGCAGGGGGAAATAAATAATAACTTGTGATGTTTTAATAACTTCCCAGATAAGTCTTTATGGCTGAATCTTTGAGAGGCTTCTGAGAGCCCCTTGTTCTCTACCAAGGCTGCATAGCCATCTGTCAAACTAAGAAACCATTGCCTTTATCATCTTGGGTCTTCCCCCACCAGGGACACAATCCCACAGTCTTGACATTTAACCTCAGCCTAATGCCCACACCCAGCTCCAGGGGGCAGTGCCCTCTGTCCCTTAGTGAGTGTCCCCTGGCCTCTGAATGTGGCACACAAACCCGCCCTATGCCATTGCTCTCCAACCCAAGGGAGGGTCAGAAACAGCCTTGGTAGCCAGTGAATCTGGGCAGTAACTGTCTGACTCTTGGCAGATGCACATCCAGCCCCAGAAGACTCCTGTCAAACCTCACCTGACCATTTTCTACTGCTCACCTCCAGGAACCTCATTCCCCTGCCTCCTCATAGAACTGATTTCATCTTCTTCCCAGAAGTATCTCAGCCCTCGGTGAGACGGGCTCTCGTCCCTGAACATTCTGCTCTTGCTAGGATCCACTGCTAGGGCTGCAGAGCACCTCCGCAGTTGCAATGTCCAGCCCCTGCCTCTAGGTTACACTGCTATTTACCCAGCTGGACCTCTGGAAATCAACTCCTCACTCCCTCCCCCTGTCTGAAGGCAGGGTCTGTCTCCCCAGTGCCCGGTACATGGTCTGCAGCATGGGAGGTGCTCAGTGCACATTCGCTAAAGAAAGGTGAACAGGTGTTTGAATGAACACATGGAAATACCCCCGTCTCCCTTAGTCAACCTCCCTCCTCTAACCTCCTTTCTGGCTGGATGCTTTTCTTCTCATCCAAATCCTGTTCCCACCACGTAAGCCCATCTGCATTGTTCCATTCTTGACGAAGGTTACCTCCTTCATGAGGACATCTCTCTGTTGCCGTCCAGTGCATGGTACAGCTGGCTGACACCTTCTAGCAACCCTGAGAGATAGGGATTACCATCCCCACTTCACAGATAAGAACACTAAAGCTCAAAAAAGTGAGGTGACTGGCCTAAGGGGCTAAGGGGATTCAAACTCAAGCCTGTCCAGGGAGTTCCCTGATGGCCTAGTGGTCAGGATTCCGGGTTTTCACTGCCATGGTCTGCATTCAATCGCTGGTTGGGGAACTGAGATCCCACAAGCTGCGTGGCGCGGCCAAAAAAAACCAAACCAAAACAAACTCAAGTCTGTCTGAATACAGAACCCGCGCTCGTAAGGACTCAGCTAGGCCATCTCCTCCCTACAAAGCTGGCTGATTGCGGAGAGGATGCGGGGACAACTTGGAAATCTCTCTTCCTTCCTCCTCACTGGCCAGGGAAATTCTACCCATTCTCACTTGAACAGGGCTGAGTGACCCTGTGGAGCAGCTCCTGCCCAGTGGCCCCCAGAGAGGGGCTCAGAAAGCCCATACTCACAGGGTTCCTCCTGTCCAGGCAAGGTGACCTGATGCTTCTTCACACCGTCAAACAGGAGCTCCGCACCGCCTCTGCAAAGGAGGGCCAGAGAAAGAGCTGGGTGAGCTCCTGCAAACGCCTCAGAGACTGAAAACTGAGGAGGAGGGTGGCTCCAGAGGCCCAAGAGATGCAGAGCCCAAGGTTCAGGAACACCCTGGGTACCAGTGATCAAGTCTCAAATGTGGCTTCCTGATGTGGTAAAGCAGGAGAGAAACAATTTTTATTAATATTTAAGTATCCAAATTTGCAGATTCTTGTTTTTATTCCTCTGCCTTAGCGCACAGGGGCAGAGCACAGGCTTTGGAGTTGTGGGCCCTAAGATGGAGACCAGGCTCTACCTGCACCTGACGGCGAGGCCCTGGGCACGTGACTTCATCTTCTGAAGCCTTAGTCTTTCCACCTGCAAAAATGCTGAGAAGCTACCACGTGGCACACTAGAGACCCTGCGTATCTAGAGGTTTCCTTTGGCTTGGCGATGCTTTGAAATTTCCCAGCCTGTGCCCCACGCCCACCCCCGCTGCTGGCCTGGTGGGCGCACCACAGTGCTGGAGGGTAAGAGACCCCACTGGGCTTAGCAATAACCCTGCCATTTGCTACAACATTCTTCCTCTCATTTCATCTTCAGGGAATCCCAGGGAAGGCAGGAGGGAGGCGGGTATTATTAACTCCAACCAGTGGAGAAGCAGACTGGGGCCAGAAATGACTTGTCCAAGGCCAGACAGGCAGTGGCTGAACTAGGATTTGAATTCTAACTGGTTTCTCCCAGAAACAACCAAGACTCCCCCAAAGGTCAGGAAGCCCCTTGAGGGCAGAGTCTGGTTCACTTCTGTGTGCCAACACCTGGCCAAGGGAAGACTGGGACAGCAGAGATGCTCAAAGCCAAGTGCAGAAGCCAGGGCTCAGGATGCAGACACTTGGGCTCTTTCAGTGCCCCACACTGCTCCTCCCCCTGGGTCTCTCCATTCCCGTCTCAGACTTCACATGGATCTTAACTGAGAAGGCCTTAACAGACTTTTGACGGATGTGATGCCTCCCACCCCACCACCCTTCCCCAATTTCAGAGAACAGAGATGTCCTGAGACAGTCCACTGGGAGGCAAAGGCAAGGCAAGCATTGTCATGGGGGAAACATGGGGCGACTGTCATCCAAACAAGGTCATGCTTTGTTGATGCAGAAATGTGGAGGGGGAGAGGAGGCCCATCTGTGGTCGTGCACAGGGCCATTTCAGCTGCAAGCCCGCACAGAGCGTCCATTTATCCCCTTCCAAGAGCCTCGTTCTCTCCTGGGTGGGGGCTGGCACATGGAGCAGCTGGGGTGGGGGAGGGTGACAGGCAAGGGGCGACAGGAGTTGGGGGTCAGAGGAGTGGGAACTGGAAGCACGGGGATCCAAGCAAACAACTCAGATTGGCCAAACCTGGTGGTGCCAGGCTCAGAGGCCAGGGCTGTTTTTCCCTTCACAAGCGGATAAAGAACCAGTCTGGCTCAGAGAGTGACCTGTCACTGCTGGGTTCACTAGCCCTCGAGGGAGGGGTTGACATTTTTGTTGTCAGCACATCTGGAGGGGAGGAAGGTGCATGCCCAGCTTCTAGAGTGATTCAGGGAGGCAGGAGGGGCCTGTTTTGGTCCCAGAAGAGAACCAAAGCCAGACTCTTATGTTCTAGAGGATTTCCTATTCAAACGCAATTAAGGCATTACAACCTAAGATACCTGTCTTTCCTCTGCTCCCCAGTACTCGGTGGGAGGTGTCTGTTGGTACCAGTGACTGGTACAGACATTCCCAATATGGCCTTCACTTTTTCTAGTTTATCTTCATCTTTTTACCTTATATATTTGTATTTATTTCCCCTCCACCTGCTGGCCTGGTACACAGCAGGCACTCAATAAATATCTGATGAATGAATGAAAATGCCCATTTCCCTCACTTCTTCTCTGACTTCAATGGCATTCCCTCCCTTTGCCAATACCTCCCAGACTAAAGGAGGAGGAAAAGGGAGAAGAAGAGGGCATCTCACATCTGTACTACATACTCTGCATCCTCTGTGACCTGAGAAAATGCTCTGTTCAGGAGGCAAGATGAGGACGGCAGAACTGGTCAAGGACAAGAGGGAGAAAGGTGGGCGAGGTCTTCTAGAGCGTCTATCAGAGCTGGTGGGGCTGAGGGGACCATATCTGCTCAGAGGAAAGAGGCAAAGGCCTAACCCAGACTCTTCAAGGATTGGGGTGGAACTGAGGGACACAAGGGAGAGAATGATGTGCAAGGCAGCTTCTTTGTAAACCTACTTAGGTTCAGAATAAAGGATGAGGGAAGTCTGCTAAGAGACATAGGAAATGAAAGAAAGGCCGGGGCAAAAACATGCATTGAGACAGAGACCAAGAGGGAAGGAATCTGGGCTTGGCATACATATTGGGCATTCTTGCTTCCCGAGAAGCTGCAGTTCTCAGGGGACACTGGGGTGGTGGGTGAAGGGAACGCTGTCTTGCCTTGCCAGGGTTCACTACTGCTCTTGGGGGTAAGGGAGGCTGAGAGATGCTCAAACCAGAAAACGGGTGCTCAAGCTAGTCTGTAAGCTCTGGAGGGCAAAGACCATATCTTCCTCATATGACTTCCCCACTGCTGCCAGCACAGAACCTAGCAAACAGAAGACATTTCTGAGGAACAGACACCATGTCTGACTCAGTGAGCATGACAGGTAAGCCGGCTGTAGATAAGCCTTAACACTGGCAATCTGCAGCTTCTCCCTCTTCAGCTCTGCTGAGGCCTGTCAAAGCGGCAGGGATCCTCCTAGAACCCCCAGGCTATGGGGGTGGGCATAGCCGGGCAAAGGGTCAGAAAAGCAATATAGTCAGGAGGCCAGACAAACATAGTTCTAATTGGACCCGTGGGGCCAGACAATATCATCAATTAAAATGCAGTTAACATTCATGAGACTACCCCCTTGCAAGGGCCAGAAACGCTGAACGCTGGAGGGCATGGACAAAGTTCTATTTATCTTTGTATCCTCTGTGCCTGGCTCACCGCCTGGCACATGGTAGGCACTCAATAAATGACTGGTGAATGGGCTATGCAATGAAGGAAAAACATGAAAGAAACTGGGGGCATCCAATGGAAGGAAAGGCATCTACGGGCAGAGGTTTTAGATTCCCATCCCGGACTTTTCCTTTCACATAAGCCTTGTCTTGTTTATCTTCACACACAAAGACAAATCTAGTCCCAGCTTTTCCATGGGACTCTGGAAATTATATCACCCATCTCCTAGGGTCTCAGCTTCTTTGCCTTCTCTCTAACCTCTGCAGTTTCTCTCAGCTCCGAAATCAGATGAAAAACCTTCTGTTTGTAGGAGACAGAAGATAGTGGCTTGAGGAGACTTCCTCCCTCCTCTGTTTCTTCAGTTATTGGTGTGTGTGCCCCAATCCTGCACTTTTCATCCTGTGCATACTGTACTGTCATCAGGGTTAGTCTCCTCCACTGTGCTACTACCTTACTTAGCCCCGCACCGCCCCCTGACTCAGGAGCTGCAGGAGGCACTCAGTAATATGACTGGTGAGTAGCAGGTTTACTGAATGTACTGAAAGGGGTTCAGGTCTGTTCAACACCCCCAAATCTTGGGAAAGGGAGGAAAGGAATCTCGTCTTGGCCACACACCCCACGAGAAACAAGGCTCCAAGAACCGTGTAAACGGAAATTGCTGCCAGAAGAAAGAAATCAGGGGCTGGAGGTGCTCCTTCGCGATCCGAGGAACTCAGATACCAGACACACGGGCCTGCTCCAAAACGGGGCTGACAACGAAGGTAGAGAGGCCGCCCGCTAACCATCAAGCCTTTTGAGTCCAGCAGGGCTGAGGGTACGGAGGAGTGCCCAGACCGCACCTCCACGACCCGGCGTGCGCCTCTATTCCCGGACATACGGCCTCGTGGCCCAGGCGGACCGAACCTCTCAAGCTCTCCGAGGCGGGTGCCGTAGCTCAAGGAAGTCGCCGGGAGCCTCGGCGATTCGGTCGTGACAGGCCCCAAGGCAGAGGGAGGGGAGTTCCGAGCCCAACGACTTCATTCCATCCCCACGGCGCCCCAGCTCTGTGACTCACCCGAACTCCACCTGCACTGACAAGGGCGCTGCCATGTTGAGGAAGCCGCGCTCACAGGAAACTCTCTTCAACTTCCGACGCTACTGCCTCGTTTCCGGTTGCTGCGGACGGAAGAGGCGGTGCCAGGGAAACGCTCCTGCTCAGCTATTGGAGGGAGGCCTGGAGCAGGGAGCTGAGCTTGGAGGAGAGTGGGCCCGGTTGAGGGCGTTTGAGTTGGTCCTTTTGTGAAGTTTAGGGACGGGGCTCCAACAACCAGGGTGGGCAGCGACTGGCATGAGCCGCAGCTAAGCGGAGGAGAGCTTTGGCATCTTGGTGCTGAGACTGTGAGCCATGTTACAGTTTATCTTGCACTAGTTACCAGTTCTCTTCAGTCCGAACACCGCTTGGACGAGCCCGTCCACTCGTCTTGTCCACTCGTCCACTCGTCTTAAATTATAAGTGACCCCCAAGTCTTTATTTCCGGCCCAGAAATCTCTCTTTTGAGCCATCGACTAGCAATCCAACCGCCCCGTCGATTTGGATTGCACTCATTCAACAGATATTTATTGTACGTCCTCCATGTGCCTGGCATTTTGGTTGGTGCTAATGGATGCGGGGGTGAACGGGATAGGGCACTCCAGCCCTTAGGGCACTCACAGTCTAGTGGGGGAAACTAATCAAATAAACATACGAGTCATGCTAATAAATGTAAAATCTCAAACTGAAAAATGATCTGGAATTGTAAGAACTTCAAAATGAAAATGGACTGGACTGGACTTGGGCTGAGCGCTAAAGCCTGAGTAGAGCTAACCAGGTGAATGTGAGGGGAGAAAAACCTCTGGGAGCATTCCAGCGAGAACAGACCGTGCAAAGACTCTGGGTGGGAGAACGTGCTGGAACACCAAGAGAAGGTGGAAATTGGGGAACAGAGGGCCTGGTAAGAGATGAGGCTAGAAAGGTGGGCAGGGGCCAAATCATGCCTTGCGAGCCAGGTAAGAATTTCAGTCTCTATTCTAAAAGCAATGGTAGACCTTGGAAGGATTTTGGGTGGGGCGTGTGCGTGCGTGTGTGTGTGACATTATTAGAACTGTGTTTTAAAATATCCTTCTAAAAAAAAATAAAAAATAAAATAAAATAAAAATATCCTTCCTGGGACTTCCCTAGTGGTCCAGTGGTTAAGACTCTGTGCTACCACTACAGGGGGCGCGGTTTCAATCCCTGGTCGGGGAATTAAGATTCTGCATACTGTGAGGCGTGGCATATAAATAAATACATACATATATAAACAGATTTAAAAATATCCGGGCTTCCCTGGTGGCGCAATGGTTAAGAATCTGCCTGTCAACGCAGGGGACATGGGTTCGAGCCCTGGTCTGAGATCCCACATGTGTCAGAGCAACTAAGCCCGTGCGCCACAACTACTGAGCCCACGCACCACAACTACTGAAGCCTGCACACCTAGAGCCCATGCTCCACAACAACAGAAGCCACTGCAATGAGAAGCCCACGCACCGCAATGAACAGTAGCCCCCGCTCACCACAACTAGAGAAAGCCCGCTCGCAGCAACGAAAATAAACAAATAAATAAATAAATAAATGTATTAAAAAAAAAACAAAAAACCTTCCTGGCTGCAGTGTGGAGAACGTTTGGGGGGAACAGGGAAAGAGACAGGGAGACCACTTTTGCCTGTTACAAAAGCCCAGGGCACAAAAGGGGTGAAGTGGATCTCCCAGGGCATCTAAACCACACTTCCAAAATCGAACCAAGCATTAGTAGAGAAGGTGGGGTAGCCTGGTGGTTAAGGGTGGATATAAGGATGTAGTCATCACTAAGAGCTGGGAGTTCAACTGCCGGCTTTACATCCAGGTCCCACCACTTCCTACTGTGTCTTTGGTTAAGTCCCTAACGTCTTTGTGTCTCAGTTTCCTCATCTGTAAAATGAAGACAGTAACAGCCCCCATAGGGTTGCAGTCAGAACTAAGTGAGTTCTTGGCACAGTGCCTCGCATCCTAAAACGGGCTCCCCCTGTTCCCCATCTCAAGGATACCACTGCCATCCATGGAAACACCCCAGCAAGACACCTTGGGCATTGTTCTTAATTCTCTTCCACACCCAGACAGTCACCACATTTGGACTCGTCTCCTTGCTAAGCTGATTTTGCAACCCCACGTTCTTCCGTTCTTCCACCACTGCCACCCCCATCACCTCTCACCTGCACCTACTTCTCTGGCCTGCCTGCCTCCCACTCCCTCCCTCTGGCCTTGGCTTCCTTGTATAATTCGACTCCACAGACATCCCTGAGCACCTTCCGTGTATCAGGCACGGTTCCAGGTCACTGGCAAAATGAGGGCAAATGAGACAGCCCTGGTCCTCGAAAAGCACAGAAGAATCCTGTGGTAAATGGAAAGGCCCCAGTGGAAACTGTGAAACTCAGTCTCCCCAATCTGTAAAGAAGGTTTTGGGGCCAAATGATCTCTTAAGGTCTTTTCAGCAAAAATATTCTAGGGAATTCCCTGGTGGTCCAGTGGTTAGGAGTCTGCACTTTCACTGCGAAGGGCCTGGGTTCGATCCCTGGTTGGGGAACTAAGATCCCACAAGCAGCACAGTGAGGTATTAAAACACACACACACACACACACACACACATATTCTAAGATATTTCCACCGGCTCCTCCAAGGGCTGAGCTCTAGAAACCTTGCCTGATTCATCCTAGAGCCTTAGCTCATAATAAAGAGCTTCATACATTGTACAGATCTGGTAGGTGCTTGCTGAATGAGTTAATGAATGAATGCATGAGCAAACACATATCAATCCCCTGCTCAAAGCCATTTAATGTCTTCTCTTTGCTGACAAGGTAAAGGCCTCTGACTTTAGCCCACCTCTATGAGTTGAATATCCTCTAACCCTGTGAACCGCTGCCTTCTGAGGCTGGAATGGGAAAGCTAAGGAGCTTTTGAAAAGCTTCATCCATTTGACAAACATTCACTGAGCACCTATTAAGTGCCAGGTCCAATGCTGGTGCTGGGAACACAATGGTGAACAAAACCAAGGGGTCCCTGCCTTCCTAGGGCTGATGTTTTGGAAAAGACACAGATGTGAAAATAGATGACACAGTGCAATCAGTAGCATGAAGGGGTAACACGGGGGCCTGTGGGAGCTGGAGGAGGGCCCTGTCCAGCCCTGGGGTTAGGCAAGCCTTCCCAGAGGAAGTCACATCGAAGGCCAAGTCCCAAGGAATTGTGGGAGGTGGAGGTGGGCAGGAGAGGGCATGTAGGGAGGCCAGAGGGAACCCTTCCCACATTTCAACAGGCAGGGGGGCCTCCAGCTTCTCCTGGCAAAGCCCCAGAGACTGGGAGCTCACTTCTCGGTAAGTCAGCCCACTCTGAATGCCTGGCTCTCATTCTTAGAAAGTCCTTTCTCCTGACCCCAAGCCTACCCTACTCAACCTCCTAATTAGTAACAATAACAGTTTAACATGTTATACTCATTCAGCGAGTACTGACCCCCACTCTGCCTCTGCCAGGAGCTTCACATGCATGACCTGATTGATGCCTCACAGGGGCTACTATTAGCGCCATTTTTCAAATGTGAAAACTGAGGCTGAGAACCGGTGACTTGTTCACGGACCCCTACGTGTCAGGCCTCGACCCCAGGTTGTTGCGCCTTCAGGATCCCTGACCCTCGCTGCGTCCTGTTGGGCTTGGCTCACCCAAATGCCTTCCCCTGGGATCCACGCAGAAGAGGGGCTTGGGCCCCAACCCTGTCCCTCCAGCAGGCCGGCTAGCCGGGTGTTGGTCTCCATCCCCTCTGAAGCTCCTAGGGAGACAATGGCGGGGTCTGCAGGGGAGACGAGGGCGCGGGGGCCCCCCTGCCCGCTGCCCTTTGTCTCCCCGCCTGCTCCCCTCGTGCGCCCCGGGAGGCTGGGAGGCGCCTCTTGCAGGCTTCCACCTCCCATTCTTGTGCTAATTGGGTGTCAAGCTGAGATCAGTGAGAAAGAAATCCTCCCCGGCTCGGGTTAAACTGCCGCCAAAGATGAGGGCTGAGCCCAGAATATCATTAGGCCGGGAGGAAGCAGGGCCCCCTCCTCCAGGGGAGGGGCTGGCCACGCATTCAGGCCCCTTTGAAAGTCACTCGGTCGCCCCTTCCCTTGCCGCCAGCGCCTCAATAGGCCCCTCAGAGGTATTTAACCTTCTTCCCAGGGATTGAAAGTGATACACCAAGCACTGGCCTGGGCAGCCACTCGCCCGTCTAAGGGTGGTAGGACCTCTGGGACGCTCAAGGCAGGCCCCTTCCAGCCTCCCCGGCCCAGCCTGCAGATGGGAACACTGAGGCGCTGGGAAGGGGGCTTGCATCCCAGCACTGCTATATTCACAGGCCCTGTGGTCTGTGGAGAGACTTAGCTTCTCTGAGCCTCAGATTCCTCATCTGTGGAGTGCGGGTAAAAATTGTAGCTGCTCTGTGTGACGGATTTAATGAAATAACGCACATCAAGTGCTTGGCCTCACGTCCTGCACATGGGAAGTGCTCCACACGTGGTGGCTGTCAGCAAGTCGAAGGCAATGGGTTTGGCCTGATACAAGGATTTCCTAGCTGAGCCCCCAGTCCTCAAGTGTGCAAGAAACGCCCACAAAGGATTCACTCTGCATACCTGGCCTCAACTCTCCCCCCAGTCCCACCGCTGCAGCCTCACTGCCCTTCTTTCATCTGCCCTGCTCGCCCTTCCCTGCCCTTCACCTCCAGGCCTTTATGTTTTGTGGCTCCTTCTGTCTGGGCCATTCTTCCCTCTCCTATTCTTGGATGACTCTTCCGTGAAAAGCCTCTGTGACCATGAAACGCGACTTCCTCACCTCCCCCACACGCCGACCAGGGCTCTGGGTTAGGGTGCAGCTAAGCACACACCCTTTGCTTCTTGACTGGCTAGGACCCTCTCCTCTGCCCCAGATAGTGGGCTCCCTGAGGGCAGATCTGACCATGCCCCGCCCCCCTGCACAGAGTAGGGCTTTAGCATCTGCTCCATTGATGTACTTACACAGTGCTTTGTAAACTGTGAAGTGCTATGTAAATGTCAGGAAATGCCCAGTAAACAGTAGCTATCCTTAACTTCACAAGCAGGTATTGAGCACCGACTACAGGCCCGGGGTGGGGGGGTGGGGGGTGGCGGGGGATGACTCACACAGCCATGGTTTGGGATGACCAAAAGCAGACAGGAGAGCTGCAAGGCCCAGGGGCCCACCAGCCCCGTCCCTTCATGGAGGGGCTGGGAGCGGATGCTGGTGCAGAAGTGGGAAACGGGCCTAGTCTGGGGTCTTAACACCTCAACACTACTCCTTTTTTCTTTTAACTACCACGTACTGCACAGCTATCAGCATCAGACCCCGTGCTGAGAGATTTCCAAGCACGATCTCATTACACGTTCACAATTGTCCCGAGGTAGGGATTCCTAGACCACCATTTATGGGAGAGGAAACTGAGGCCTAGCCTGGCAAATGGACTTGAACTCAGGCCTGACCGGCTCCTCAGCAGGAGCTTTTAACCACCACTCCTTACTGCCTCTGGGTGACTGTGTTCAACCAGGGGAAAGGAACAGGGACCACTGGGGGGCTCCTTCCCGTCGGAGAGCAGTCATTGCTGTGGGTTAAAGACACAAAGCTTCACTGTCAGCCAAGTCCAGCCCCTTGGGAGCCTGATCAAAGGCCCACCACAGAGTCCTCTGGGATGAGTACCGCTGGGGGTGAAGTGGGGACTTGCACTCCCTCCTTCCAGCTTCCCTTGGCTGAGCGCCAAAGGCTGGACTGGATTCTGCAGGACCCGTGCGCCCTCTGCTGGTCACACTAGGGCACTGCAGCCATGCCTGCCACTCCCAAACCCCACCCGCATCAGCCTCGCTCTGCAGGGGCCAACTCCAGCGCTGCCTCCCTCTTCTCCCAAGAGTGGCACCAGACTCCACTATCTTTCAAAGGTCACTCCCCCAGGAGGCACCCCAGATTTCTCACCCTGGTCACCCACCACCCAGTCAGCTGCTGGCCTGGGGTGTGGCTCACAGTTGGCTCCACAAGCATGCGTGGAATGGAAGCTCATCTGGCTTTCCTGTTGCCTTCTGCACCAAGGAGCAGCGGGAAGGGCAAGGGGCTGGGGCTGGCATTCCAGTCCCCACTACTTGCTGTGTGACCTCAGTCAAGTGACAGACGGTGCTGAGGGTTAAATAGTGAAGATGACGCCCTGGGGCACACACTGCCTGCTGCCCTGGCTTGGGGTGGACCCCCTTTCCATTGGGCTGTGCACATTTCCAGCCTGCGTGCGACTCCAGGGGTTGGGCCCTAGGGGACAGCTGGCCCTCCGCTGGCACTGCTGACAGCTCTGCAAACACTGTTCCAGGAAGCTTTCCTAGACTCTACCCAGCTGGTTAGGCAGCCCTGCTCTGCCTTGCACGGCACCCCTGCCAACCCCCCTGGGAAAATGCACCCCTGGCAGAAGGAACAGCATGGGCAAGGGTCTGGAGATGGGACCCTGTGCTGGGTTAGGGTTTCCTCCCTCAACGGCTCTGAACAGCCTTTTCCTCATACTGGCTCCCTTTAGCTCTCTGAATCCTAACTGATCATTCCCTTGTCACAGAGACAACAAAGTCACTTGCCCAACGCGCAAGCTCGTGACACAGCTGGTTTAGACTCTCAAGATCATGCTGTTAAAACACCCTGCCAGGCTCAGGTGGGAACTGCCCCCCATCTAAGATAACCTGCTATATCCCTCAGTCCAAATGAACGAATGAATGGAGGAGTGAATGGGGCAGAAGCTGGGGCCTGAGCAGGATGGGGTGAGCTCAGGTGGCATCACACGGGCAGGGGGAGGAAGGCAGAGTTTATTGGCCCCTGAGCACCCCTCACCCCTTCTCCCTTCATAGCCAGGCCAGGACGGAGACGGAGGAGGGGACAAGGACAGACCCACAAAGACAGATAGGCCCTGCCTGAGGGACAGCCAGGCAGGCACCCAGAGAGAGGGCGATGAGACGGGTGCTCCGTCCAGGCTGCCTGCTACAGGTCCAGGCTGCCTGCTACAGGTCAGTCCCTCTCCTGCCCTCCTAGAGGCACCGGCAGGGCTGAGGACGCTTGAGTGGCTCCAGGGCCTGGATCCTATTCGGACACCTGATCAACGGCCACTGCTGCCCCCGCCCACTCTGCTGGCTTCCTGGGTCTGGGGGCTTCTGCCCTGGTCCCGTTTACAAGCTGCCTGTTCTCTGGAGAGTGCTTGGTGACCCTCCACCTCCCCTGTCCTGCCCTAAGACATCACCCTGAGGGGCCCAGTCTCAGTCTCAGCCTGGGGCCCAGAGGCCCCCTGAAGACACAACATGGAGATGAGGCTTTCACAGAAAGCCTTGGGGGGAGGGGGAGGCAGCAGTGAGTCCCTTGGCAGTTTTGAGGGGTGGGGGTCGGCACCTCGGGGTTGTGAGGCCAGGCTCTTCTTGCTTTGGTCTGGCTTTGCCCAGGAACCCTCTGGGGTGGGAGCTGGTGCTCTGGGTCCAGCATCCGGTGGCCCTCAGAGGGACTCGGGGCAAATCACAGCTTCTCCTCGCCTGCCTGGATGCGAGTGTAGGCCTCTCGGTCCAGAGGGACATAGCGGCCCTTCCGGACATCCAGGTAGAACAGTGGGTCTTTCACAACTGTTAGGTCAAAGCCCTCCTTCCGCAGGTCTGTCTTCTGTAGCTTGAAGGTCCCTGAGGGAGGGAGAAGACAAGGGGGAAGAAGGGTCAGAAGGGTGTAGGGCTGGGGCCCAAGCTCTCAGAACCCGCCCTCCCGCCAGGGTTGCGGAAGGGAGAGGAGGGCTGCAGAGGACACCGGAAAGGGGAGGCATGGGAGGAGGGGCACCGCCCTCTACAGTTTGCAAAGGCTCCATCCATTACATTATGTATCACTCTTCAGAGCAGCCCCGGCAAAGGGGAAGGGGCCGAGTTACCCACGCCTTTTTGCAGACAGGGAAACGGAGACCTGAAGAAGAGAAGCTATTCTTTCAGGGCCACATGCTGAGTGACAGCAGAGTGAGGACCAGACCGCAGGTCTTCCCTGATGGCTCCCCCTCATCTGAGCACCTCCCAGGTACAGGCGTGATCTCATGCAATCTGCACATCAACCCCAGGGGCAGGTGCACAACCATATTCTATGGATTCTAAGATGCACAAGATTTCAGATTTCAACATCTCTGAAATAGCTCAATTCGTGTTTTTTCCCCTTAGTAGTATGTAATATAAATTATGCAACTTTCAATCAACGGTCTTAGCTCCTCTATATAGACAAGAAGACTGATGCTCAGAGGCACATATCTGAGCCAACGTCACACAGCTCGTAGGCAATGGAGCTGGGATTTGAACCCAGGTGTGATAGATGCCAGAAATGGCTACAGCTTCTCCCCAGGTACTCCTCTGCCGCGTGGACTGGCCACTTCTCCCAGCAAGAGATGGAGTCTTTCTCAACGGCTGCTTGAATCCAGACTGGCCTTACAACTGGCTCTGACTCACAGAATGCGGAAGAGGCCATGTTGTGGGTGGTCTAGGCCTCAAGGGGCCTTGCAGCTTCCATCCCCACCCTCTCGGGGTGCCCTGAGACCAGTCTAGCCTCTGAAGGAGGAGAAACCACATGGAACAGAGCAGAACCACCCCAGGAAGGGCCGCTTAGACGGGCGCTAAGTGGGTAGTCACTGGCCATATGTGGCTACGCAAATTTAATTAAAATGAAACGAAATTTAAAATTCAGTTTCCGCGTCACACTGGTCCCACTTCAAGCGCTCGGGGCTGGTAGCTGCCGTGACGGAGAGCGCAGAGCGCAGCTAGAGCACACTGCCGTCACCACCGTTCTGTGGACATCACTGCAGAGCCGACCCGCTGGAAGCCCCACGTGAGGGTGGCCCTCTTACACCCGATGGCACTATTTGACCCTAGATGGGGCCAACAGAAGAACACTCAGCTGGACTTAACCCCAAACTGCTGACCCACAAATTGTGAGCAAATAAAATGGCTGTTCTGAGCCCTAAGTAAGTTTGGAGGCAGCCAGGACTGAGGAGAGTGGAGGGGAGGTCAGGGCATGAGCCTCAGAGCTTCCTGCCCAGAGAAGCTCTCAAGAGGACCAACAGACAGAAGGAGGGCACCACCCCGCCGTGTGCCGGTGGACCCACCACTCGCCCCTCCCCCTGGGCCACCTGCAGCCTCCCCCAGCCTCCACACAGGACAGGAATCTGACCAGGTCACTACCTTGCTCAAACACTTCTGTGGCTCCCTACTGCCCCCGGTATAGTCCAAGCCCCCTTCCCCGGCCCACAAGGCCCCCCTGCTGCCCTTGCCACCCCACCTCACGCCGCTGCCCACCCCTCACTGCTCCAGCTTTGCGGGCCTCCTTTCATTCCTCTAGCAGCCAAGTGCCTCCCTGCCTCAGGGACTCCGCAGTGGCTGTTCCCAGAGCCCGGAAGGCCTCCCACCCCCACGAAGTCCTCCCTCTCTCCCTCCCTCTCACTCTCAGGTCTCCGCTGAAACCGCACCTCCTCAGGGGAGCCTCCCAGTCACCCCCAACCCCCTCATTCACTTTCCTGTCAGTTTGATCTGCATTCCATTCTTTATCTTTGGAATTCCTTATCCTGTGGCTGCCTCCCCTGCTGCTCTAGAAGCTCCCAGAAGGCACAGGTCCTGCCGAAATTTGTCACCTGTACCCCCAGGGCCTAGCACAGTGCCTGGAGCAGACGAGACACTCAGTCGGTATTTGTTCTCAGTTGTCCCACTGAGAATGGGTGCACCCTCTCTCCCTGAAGCCTGGGTCTGCTCACAGGTAGGTCAGGTTACCAACCACTTGGCAAGGCTGTGGGTGAAGGCAAAACGACAGGCACCTCGGCCTCTCAGAAGGACCCAGGAAGGGGCCTTGGCCTGGCACCTGCGAGTTGGAGCTGGGGTCGGGGGTGGGGACAGACCTGTTTTGTGCAGCTCAGGCAGGAAGCGCAGGAAGATGGGGCGGGCGTACAGGGGCAGCTCCTTCTCCAGGAGCTGGGCTAAGCGCTCCAGGTCACAGCTGCCAGAGGGGTTGGCCACAGCGGCCATGCCGGCCCGGCCCTCGGTTCCTGGGGGTGGCAGAGTGGGCAGTGAGCGGCTGGCGATGGCCCCTGCGGCCCCTCCGCACACACGCCGGCACCTCCCGCCTCCCCGGGTACCTGGCACCTCGACGCCATACACGGCCACGTCGGCCATGGCCAGCAGGCGGCTGAGCGCGCCCTCCACCTCCGTGGTGGACACGTTCTCGCCTTTCCAGCGGAAGGTGTCCCCCGTGCGGTCCCGAAAGTACAGGTAGCCCAGCTCGTCCATCACCAGCACGTCGCCTAGAGGGGAGCTGGGTGAGCTGGGTCCCGGGGGTTCCCGGGGAGGTGCTCTCGGAGGGTGGCGAAAGGCCCCTTCCCCCTCCACCCCGAGGGGCGGCAAAGGCCTAGGGAGAGGTGCCCACCCACCGGTGAGGTAGGCCTGGTCCCCCTTCTTGAAGACATCCTTGGCGATCTTCTTGTTGTTGGCGCCCTGGTTGAGGTAGCCGTCGAAGCGCCGCAGGGGGTCCTGCTGGACGATGGCGCCCACCAGCTGGCCCGGCTCACCTGTGGGCAGGGGAGGCGGGGTCAGACCTGCCCTGGGGTCTCTTTCACACTGAGTGCACCCTGCAGCTGTCCACAGAAACGCCCACTTCTCCCCGCCCCACCCCGGGAGCCCCGAGGGCAGGGAGCGTCTTGGTAAAGTCTGGTCACTGAACAGATGGATGGAAAGTCGAACAAACAAATGACAGGGTGGTCAAGCCCTACGCGGACGGCCTAACCAGAGCCAGAGCCGGCACTCCCAGGGCCCTGGCTCTGCTTAAAGAGCTTTACGTTCTGTACCACATGGACTCCTCAGGACAACCACGTGCAGGTGAGGGACTCAGGCACAGAGCTGGGGGGCTGAGGCGGCCTGGGCCCAGGGTCCACAACACGAAAGTGCACGAAGGGACTGGGTGGATGGGACGGTGACTGAACGGATGCACGGATGAAGAAATAAATGCCTGGAAGCCCTCAGAGAAGATGACTTCTGGCTGCTGACCAGGATGGGGCTCCCCACCCACCGGCCCCACCCCCCTCCTGAGTCAGCCCCTCCCACTCTCACCCCCAACTGCAACCCTAGGGTAGACCTGGCTGGCATGGAAGGCAAACGCCATCAGGCCCCCGGATCAGCTCCATGGTGTCCTCGTTGACACGAACCAGCCGGATGGGGTACACGAAAGACAGGATGCGGCTGTTGAATCCACAGGCCCCCACCTGCAAAGGCCGAGACTCAGGCCCAGCTGCTCCCACCATGGGCCTGAAACTGGACAGTCTGGGGGCTGCGGGGGGCCTCCAGCACCCACACTCCCACACTGGAACTCTGCTCTCCCCTCTGCCACCCGTGCCTTCCGTGGTCCATCTGCGTCCCCAACCTGGGCCGCACCTGGCCGTCGAAGTTGCCCAGGCTGCAGTTGCACTCCGTGGCCCCGTAAAACTCGGCCACCTGGGAAATGTGGAAGCGGCTACAAAAGTTGGTCCAGATGGACTGCCGGAGGCCGTTGCCGAGTGCCATGCGCACCCGGTGCCGGTTTTCCGCCTCCCGGGGTGGCTGGTTCAGGAGGTAGCGGCAGAGTTCGCCGATGTACTGCACGATCTGGGGATGGACTTGGTGTGAGTCTGGGCCCCTGAGGCTACTCTTACTTCACTGCCCCCCAACCCCCCAAGCCCCTACCCCTACTACCCCAGGGGCCGGCTGTGCAATCCCTTCCCTCTCTGGGCCTCAGTCTTCCCATCTGAACAATGGGAGTGCTGCCCCAAATAAATGGCTGGCTGCCCTCAGCTGTAAGACAGATGTCCCTGGGTAGACCTGGCGGGAGGGTCCCGAGGGGCCGGGGATGCTCATCCCCTTCCCCTCTCACTCACTGTGCAGTTGTATTTGATACAATCGTCCCAGAAGCGGGAAGCTGAGAACTTCTTCCGGATCACCACCGTCATGCCATGGAGCAGGCACTGCCCGATTCCCACGATGTTTCCTGAAGGCAGAGGGGTGGGCCTCAGAGGTCAGGTAGACAGGAGACCCTTCCCTCCAGAGCCTCCTCTTGTACAGCCCAATCTCCTCAAAGGCTCTTTCCCTTTCTCTCTCCTGTCCTGTCCCTCCAACACTAACTGGTCATATCTCTCTCGCCAGTCAGACACCTTCCATGGCTCCCCAGTGCCTATAGGATTGAGTACGCAATCCTTAGACTGTCCTCTGAGGCCTCTGGAGCTGGCCCCAAGCTCCTGCTCCCATACCCGTAACGCTACCATTCAGCCAGGGGGCACTGAGCTAGCCCGCCTAGCTTCTGCACCTCACATCTGCCTGCCTTGGGTGCACCTCCTCCAGGAAGCCTTCCAGGCCATCACTGGGCTCTTCCCTTGAACTGAGCTCCTGCTCCCTGCCTCTCCCCATACTCAATGCCATTTCTTGTATTAAGAGTCAGGATAGGGTCCCATCATTCATCCTGCCCCAAACACACACAGCCAAACCCTAAGCACCTTGAGGGCAGGAATTACATTTATTCCATCTCTGTCTTTCTAAAAGCTCCTAAGACCAAGCAGCTCCTAAGACTGTGCATACCTGTGGGAGCGACCTGAATGGTCAGACCAGCCCAGGTGCCCTGCGGGACACGGCCACACACACCACTTTTGCTGGTGAGGCCACTTTCATTCAGAGATCAAAGCCCACGTCTGTATTTGAACCCAGATTTGACTCCAAAGCTCAAATGTTTCTACTGCAACATGCTGCCTGCCAAGAAGGGTGGGGCTTCCAAGACTCTGGGGGTGCTGGAGGCTGAGTGGACAGGCCTGGAATACCTGCAGAGTGGTAGAGGGGGAGACAGTCGTAGACGATGTCGTCGGGCCGCATGCGGAAGCCGTAGTACACCAGGGCAGCCATGCGGTAATACCTGGGAGGGCAGAGGGCCAAGGGCTCTGTGGGCCGCTGGAAAGGCAGGAGGAGCGGCTCCGAGGCCCCACCATCCCCAGGCCTCCCCCCAGGGCACCTTCCCCTTACCTGCTGTGCACCACGATGGCAGCTTTGGGCAGCCCTGTGGTGCCTGACGTGTAGATGTAGAAGAGCTTATCTGAAGAAAACAGACACAGGAATGGCTGTGAGAGGGGGCAGCACAGGGCTGGGCAGAGAGTCAGGCAGGCAGACATCTGTAGGTGTACATCACTCAACACCCACTCCCATCACACCTCCTCCAGAAAGCCTACACTGATGCCCCCAAGCACCACTCTCCGCTCTAATGCCTGCACTGCTTCCTTCAACGAACTTTTTCCGAGCCCTCGCTCTGTGCCAGGCCCGGGGAGACATCAGTGACTAAGATGAGCACAGGCCTTGCCTGCGTGGAGGTGAGAGCCAAGTGGGACAGGAAGATGAGGACACGGGTATTTCCAATACTGAGCGCAGAGTGTTGGGAAGCACAGGGCCTGCCAAAGCCCAGCTGCAGCGCTTGACCCAGGCTCCAGGGAGGAGAGGTGGCACCAGGGAGGGCTTCTCGAAGGAGGTGATGCCTACTGCGTGGGGAGGGTTAGCTGCAGGAAGCCGGGTGCAGAGGTAGCTTTTGCACCACTGACCATTTCTGTATTCCCCCACTGCCAGGACCAGGGATTGTCACGTTATGGTTTCTGTGTGAGGTCAGCTCCACCAGGCTGGAGGTTCCAGGAGGTCAGGAATGCCTCTGCACGTTATATAGTAACCATCTCACGTTCTCAGGGCGCGTGCAGTATGTCAGCCCTAGGCTTGGCGCCAGGTTCAACCAGCCAGAGTCCCGCCCTCAAGGAGCTTAAAAAAGCACCCGGCGGACCATATCCACACACGGCAGAGGTTAAACGATAATGACAATGACGGCCAGTTACTGAGCACTTCCGGTCATACCCTAGCTTTCCATTGGACCTTTTCCAACCCTCAAACACAGGTTCTGTTGCCATCCCCAATTTTATGGCTCTGGGAACCGAGGCTCAAAGCGCAGCTCAGGTGTTCAGGGTCATACATGGGAAGCAGTAGAGCTGGGATATGAACTTGGCCCAGGCTCTGAACACCCAGGCGATGCAGCAAGCCGTGGGCTGCAGGAGGCGGGCTGGAGTGGGCAGGAAGAGAGGTGAGAGGGCCTGGAAGGCTGCTCAGAAGTCGGGGGGAGGCAGCCCAGAGCAGGGAGGGGATCACAGACCAACAGGGGCCTGCGCTGAACAGGTGGTGGGTGACCATGCAAAGGGTCTCGCCCCTGGTCCAAGCGCAGCCCAAACTCAGGCGAGGCAGGCTCCTGGGTTCCACGTGATCCTGCGCGAGTCAGGCGTCAACGAAGGCTGTTCAAGAACTGCGTTCTGTGTGCCTGGCACTTTCACACACATCAGCTCATGCAGCCTTCATAGTAAGCCCAGGATCACTGTCCTCATTTTCCCAGATGGAAAAGGGAGGTGACATGACTCACTCCAGGTCACGCAGCAAGTTTACAGAAGAACCCAGGCCTTGAGGCCACTGCTCTGTCCCTGGCCATCTTAGAACCCCCCCGTGGGGGTGAGGGGCCCACCTACGAAGCCCTTGTTGGGGCGGCTGGGCAGGTGCTTAGGGGCATCTTCTAGCAGGGGGTCCAGGTGCTCCGTGCCGGCGGGCACTGCGCTGGCCTCCCAGGGACCGGTGCAGAAGAGGCTGATGGAGGGGTCCAGGCTGGCACAGATCTCAAGGACAGCTGTGGGGGAAACAAGGCAGATCAGCAGGCAGGCCAGGACACCCCGTGTTCCCAGGACCTCTGCTTGTGCCGGGGCTGAGCATGTTGTCAGGGGAGGCTGGCTGGGTAGGGCAGAGAGATGGGTGAAGCACCTGGGACCTCGTCATAAGGAAGATGCTGAGAGGAGCAACGGCTCCCATTAGCTGCTGGCTAACTACGCCACGGGCTCTTTACATGCATGCTCCTGCGCACACACCCCAGGAAACAGGTACCAATAACAGCCCATTTTACAGATGAGAAAATTGAGGTTGAGAATGGGAGGGATTCACTCACAGCTAGAATGTGCTGGAGCTGGGACTCAAAGCCAGCTCTATCTCACACCAAGGCTTACTATGGCCCTACCCACTGTACTATGCTAGTCTATGGGGGACTGGTTAGGAGGGAGGAGTGGGGGGTCAGAGGCCGGCAGCCCTCCAGCCTCTTCAGAGGGTGGGAATCTTCTCTCAGGCTCTCCTGTGCACTACACATGTCCAGATACTCACCCGCCCTGAGCGTAGGCCAGTCTGGCCCACACGGCCACAACTCCTCTGGCTTCCTCTTGACTTGTCCAACCCTCTCCCCTCTCCCTGCTGCATCTTTCCTCCTCCCCTTTCAGCATCTTAAGAACCTCTCCTGCCCATTATTCCACAGTCACAGCAGCATGGGGAGAGAGAACAGGGACACTGTGGTCAAAGCCCGAGATCAAACCCCGGTTCTGTCACTTAACAGCTGTGCGGCTCTGGGTGAGTGCCTCACGCCACTCTGAACCTCAGTCTCCTCATCTGTGAAGCCAAGATGACAATCTCTACCTCACCAGGCTTAGTGGAGATTAGAGCTGCTTTTGTAAAGCCCCAAACTCAGCACGTGGTCAGTGCCCAACGCGGTGGCCAATAAACATAAGCTCTGCAGGAGAGCAGGGAACAGATTCTTGTCCCCATTTTATAGATGAGGCCTAATTAGTCACAAGAACAGTTACCATTATGTCTGAGGGGTCACCTAGCATCGGCCACTGTGTTAATACTTCAGGTGAAGTGTCTCCCTGAAAACAGCAGGAGGCAGGTGCTATGGTGAGGAGACTGAAGCACAGGGTCTCACTCGGGTCTCCAGCCTACCAGGGGCACAGCCCAGGCCATCTGACTCCAGGGCTCATGCCCTTAACCGGTGAGCCACACAGACTCTCCCAGGGCTGGAGGGTGGCGGGGGGGGGGGGGCTGTGTGGCGGTCCCGTGGGACTCCCTGCCTATCCCCTGCCCCTTCGGGGCTCACCTGGGGCCATCTCGCTGCCAAAGATGAGGGCCCGGGCCTGGGAGGAGGTCAGGCAGTGGCGCAGCGCGTCCCGCCGGAGGTTGGTGTTGATGAGCGCTGCCTCCACGCCCAGCTTGGCCATGCCCAGCCACAGGCCCACAAACTCATTGCAGTTCTCCATGAAGAGGGCGACCACGTCGCCCGAGGCCAGGCCCCGCGCCTGCAGGAAGTTGGCCACGCCGCTTGAGTAGTCATCCAGCTGGCAGAAGGTCCAGTGGGTGTCCGTGCCCTCGAAGATCAGGGCCGTCTTGTCCGGGTGGCGCTGGACCGTGGAGGCGAACAAGATGGGCACCGTGCGCCGCTCCCGCAGGTAGCGTCGGACCTTGGCCTTCACCTTCAGGAGCACTAGGCCGCCGCTGGGTGTGGGAAGGGAGAGGGATGAGCAAGGGAGCTGTGACTGCTGGGCTTGGGAGTGGGGGTCCGGAGGCCCTGGTCTGATCACTTGTGACACCCCTTTCCCAGCACCTGTGTGCGGGGCAGCGATACATGCAGCGGCTCACTGATGCTGCACGATAACATCAGGGACCCGATAACACCAGGGACCCGGGCGATTACTCCCTCCCCGGTACAGAGGAGGAAACCGGTGCCAGGGCTTGCCCTGGGCTTTACGGGTGGAACGTGGCAGCGCTGACATTTGAACCTCAGTCCTGTCCGGCTCCAGAGTTCAACTCCAAGTACACTCTAAGCTCTGCTCTGAGTCTGCTGCTCTGTTGGGGACTTCCACGACTACAGGGCCCCAAGTCAAAGTCCAAACTCCTCCTCCTGGACCTCCCACACCCCCGTATTGTCCCTCTCCCCGTAACTGCCACAGTGAAAAAGGACGAGTTTGCGATTTGTCCCGTCTCCCTCCCGGTGAGCCCAGCAAGGTCCACCCTGTTCACCATCTTGCCCCCGGGTGCTGCTCAGTGCCAGGCACAGGGTAGATGTTCAATAAGTGTTTGTGGAATCACTTGGCAACATCCTCCTTTCCTGCCCCACCCGTGCCACCTCTGACCCCTGAACTCTCCTGGCCCCCCAGCCTCTGTGCCTTTGCTGATGCCGTGCCCTCTGGCTGGAGTCCCCCGCTCCCACTTCCTTGAGGTGACTCTCAAGTACAACTGCTTTTCCTCCAGGAGGCCTCCTCTGATTCCCCAGGGCCCGGGCCTGAAGCCATCTCCCTTTGTTCACGCTCCCACAGCTCTCTGCTGCGACCACCCTTCCTGCAGTGGCCACTCGAAACCTCCTTTTGCAATCAACTCAGACTGACAAATGCCGAGCCACCTGTTCTGGGTGTGGGTCGGGGTGCTGGGCACTGGGATACTACCGTGATTAAGACTGCCAGGGTCTCTGCCCGCATGGCACTGCCAGTTTAGGGATTGACTGTGTCCCCTCCGGTCTCCCTGACCAGTCTAAGCTTGGCCCAGGTCTGGGGCTGCCTCATTCCCCTCCCCACCCCAGGCCCCAGAGTCAGCTCAGCGCTTTTCACAGAGGAGGTAGCAGCAGGTGTTTCTGGTACAGGATATCCCCATGGACCATCCCTGACTTTCTCTGGGAAGCAGATTCTCCCTGACATGATTCAGGGCCTGCTCTAGAACTCAGTGCCCTCTCAGACTCATGCCAACTGGAGGACAGGGCCTCCTCCACAGGGTTCTTCTTCACCCTCTCACAAGTTAGAGCATGTTCTTAGGACTCCTTACAGAAGTCTCCTCAACACGCCCGGTGTTTGATGTATGTCCCAGGACCCCAAGTCTGCTCCAGGATAAAGAGCACCAAGTTAAGGAGATTCCCTGGGAGGAGACTTTGACCTTGGCAACAGAGGTACCACATACTATTGCAAGGGGAAGGGTGTGGAACACAGACTGCTCCTTTGGGACCTGGGTGCCCTGTGCTGGTAGAGACCATAGGGTCTGGCCTGGGGAGATTTGGGGGATTAGGAGCCCAGCATAGTGTAGGAAACCCAGGAAGGGTTGTACCAGGTACTCACAAGACATCACGCCTGACGGTCTTGACGAAGACTCGGACGAAGCGCCAGCCGCCAGACCCCAGGTAGAGGAAGAGCAGGGAGAAGCCGACTTGGGTCCAGGGCAGTTTCAGCACCAGCTTGGAGAACAGCAGCAGCCCCACCAGAGACGCCCCAAGCAGCATTGTGGCCTGTGGGCACAGGGCAGTCAGTGGACCCAAATGCCTGGATCCCCTACCTCCTGGCTTGGGCAACCAGGCCACTATCATCTCAAAGGGTTAATCTGTAGTGAGGCCATATTGAGTAGGGTAGCCGAGGACTGGGTCCCTTTCTGGGGCTGTCGGGAAGGGTCAGGCTAGAGGCATGGGACTTGAGGTGAGGAGTTCCAGGGCTGAGAGTCAGAGGCTGGGTTCTAGCCCCTAAGTCCCATCTCTGCCTATGACTCTCTGAATGACCTTGGGCAAGTCCCTTTCCCACTTCAGTCCTTAGTCTTCCCCTCTGTGCAATGGGTGTAATGAGAATTGCTCTCAGAGGCCCTTCCAACCAAAAGAAGACAGTCCACTCTCCTGACATCCAGGATCCCAACCAAAATGCCTTGAAGCGGGTATGGACTTGAGTGCCTCGGGCTCAACTCCCCACCCAGAGACCTACGGAGTTTCTGTGGATGATCAGGCCAAGCCACAACACCCAAAGGGGCAACTTCTTGAGAAGGGGCCCTGCTCAGTCCCTGCCCATAGGTCCAGGCAGTGCCATGCCTCTATTGGCCCACAGAGGGCGATGGAGAAAACAGGTGAGAGCCTGGAGGTGCCTGAGAGGTGACCGCACAGAAGGGAAAGGTGATTGAGGGAGAGGAAGAGGGGCTTGAAGTCACCCCCACAAACACACTCAGCAAGCCACTCAGATGAATCTTAGGGGATTGGGGCTTAAGGGGAGAGGAACGGCTGGCAGGGCTGAGATTAGGACTCTTGGACTCTATTCCTGGTGCTTTACAGACTTGCTCAAGGGGCAGCAGATGGGACTGTTTTCCTTCAGGTTCTCCTGTTCCTGGGGAGGGGCTGAAGGTCACGTCTATGAGGTAGCCTGAGATTCTTCAAGCCAGGACGAAGACATGGTCTGGACCACAGGGAACCCTTACACCATCTCTCCCTCCTCCACACGAAAAGCAAAAGCCGGGAGGGGGACGAACCAGCGTCTCCAACTCCAATGCCAAGGGTCTCCAAGGTCCTCAGACCTCTGGACTAACAGAGCCCGCCAGGGCAAAAGACAAGGACCCGTCCCGGAAAGCTGGGGGATGGGACGAGGAGGGAACGGGATGCCCAGATCTCCCGGGCCCCGATCCCGGGTCACTGCGGACCGCCTTGACCCCCAGAAAAGCCAGGGTAGCAGAGCGCCCGGCAAGGAGACAGAGCAGCAGGGCGCGCCCCCCACCCCAGACCGGTACCGCCACCTTCCCCGGACTCGGCCGGGCACATTCTCCCGCCCGGGGACCCATTGTCCTAGCCTGTGCTCACCTGCTGTCGGCCCCGCCGCGGAGCACGCAGTCCAGATGCGGCCCAGCTGCTGTAGCAGAGTGGGGAGCGCGGAGGAGCATCAGCCGCTCCTGGGCGCACAGAGCCGAGTCTCAGCAGCGTTTCCCCGGCTCTGCGCCCTGCACGGCCCAGCAGCTCGGCCGGCCCCGCCTGTCCCCGGGACTCCTCCCCTGCCCGTCTCCCGCCCGCCTCCCGCCCGCCTCCCGCAATCCAAACCGGCTGCGCCGGCCGGCACCGCCGCCTGCCGCGCCTTGCCCAGGGTGAGCACGCCGCAGAGCTGGCAACGCCGCGCAGCCTCCGCGAGCCCTACGCCGCCCGACCCAGCCCGTCCTACGCGCGCGACGGCTCCTGGCGGCGCCCCGCGCGGCACGCTGGGAGTTGTAGTCCGCGCCGCGCAGCGCCGCCGGACAGCAGAGGCCCCCGGGGCAGTGAGGAGGCAGGCGGGCTCTGCCTGGACCCCGACCCCCAATCCCTGGGCGTCCGGACGTGGGGGAGAACACCCCCACCGCACCGTTGGCGGGGAATCTGGAGTCCGCGCCCGGACCCAAGCAGAGTTCAGCAAAGGCCCGGCGCCACACCTAGAAGAACGCTAAAAAGTCTGTTTCAGGCAGAGGCGAGTCGGGTGTGAAGAATCTAGCAACTGGCTCTGTGGCGCAATGGATAGCGCATTGGACTTCTAGCTGGCCTCGTGTGGTTATTCAAAGGTTGTGGGTTCGAGTCCCATCAGAGTCAAATTTTGACAGCTCCTCCTTTACTTCCATTCGGAAATTTTACGGCCTCCAAGGCCACAAGGTTCAGAAGACCCAAAGGCTCCTGCAGACCTCAGACTGGCACCTGTGCTTCTGGGACAGCAATAAACTTGGTGTAGGGATTGCTGCGTAGGAACTCTTTCCCATCCTTGGTCTCTTGAAAGCAACCCGGCACACTTGGTGGCACGAAGGGCACGGATCTGGAGACCCGTATGTATCTTTGGCCTCTGAATGGTCTGGACCCTGAGGGCTGTGACCACGTTTGTCATGCCACCCAGTTCTGGGCCATCTGCCAACTTCCCACCCACTGTGTCACTCTGGACCTCTGAAAACTGGGTTCCTCGATAATCAAACACGTTGGGCATCCACAGTTGCCACTTGTCCTTAAATAGATTCCTTAATCCCTTAGTCCAGTCAAAGTCCTTAAAAATGAGGAAGGACAGTTTTCAGGGTATGTTTATAGGAATTAAAAATGAAATTTTGGGGCTTCCCTGGTGGCGCAGTGGTTAAGAATCCGCCTGCCAGTTCAGGGGACAGGGGTTCGAGCCCTGGTCCGGGAAGATCCCACATGCCGCGGAGCAACTAAGCCAGTGCACCACAACTGCTGAGCCTGCGCTCTAGAGCCCACAAGCCACAACTACTGAGCCCTCATGCTGCAACTACTGAAGCCCGCACACCTAGAGTCCATGCTGTGCAACAAGAGAAGTCACCGCAGTGAGAAGCCCGCGCACCACAACGAAGAGTAGCCCCTGCTCGCCGCAACTAGAGAAAGCCCGCGCGCAGCAACAAAGACCCAACACAGCCAAAAATAAATAAAATAAATTTATTTTGTTTTCAAAAAAAGAGGGCTTCCCTGGTGGCGCAGTGGTTAAGAATCCACCTGCCAATACAGGGGACACAGGTTCAAAATCTGGCTCGGGAAGATCCCACATGCCGCGGAGCAACTAAGCCCGTGTGCCACAACTACTGAGCCTGCGCTCTAGAGCCCGTGAGCCACAACTACTGAGCCCACGTGCCACAACTACTGAGCCCACGTGCCACAACTACTGAAGCCTGCGCACCTAGAGCCCGTGCTCCACAAGAGAAGCCACGACAATAACAAGCCCGGGTACCGCAACAAAGAGTATCCCCCACTCACCGCAACTAGAGGAAGCCCACGTGCAGCAACGAAGACCCAACACAGCCAAAAAAAAAAAAAACCACCATAAAACAGCTCCTGCTTGGGCCCTTTCTTTGGGCATCACCTCACACACCCCCACAGCAACCCTAGGAGGTGGGTGCTGTTTCATCCCCCTTTTACTTATGATTAAACAGGTCTAGAGAGGTGAAAGGACTTGCCCTAAGTCCTTCAACTAGAAAGCGGAGGAGGAGTGGGGAATTTGAATCCCAGTCTGCCCGACCTCAGACCAGACAAGGGACAAGCAGCAGAAGCTCAGGCTGGAGGGAACATCTGCCCTCAGTGCTCGAAGGCCCAAGGCTGCCAGAGTCAGGGAGAAGCAAAGGCAGGAGAAGCAGACTCTTGACCTGATGGGAGCCTTTATTCAGACAGCAGAGACTCGCCTCTCCCCCTGCCTCCCTCTTCTCAGGCCTTGGGAGTTGGGTACAGCCCTCCCTCCTGCGAAGAGCCCCAGCCTGGCACCCAGAGAACCCTGGCTGGCAGGGAGGGGTTGGGAACAGGGGTTGTGGACCTGAGCCATCTGGGCATGAGCCTAGACAACTGATTCCTACGCATACATGGTTCTGAAACCGTGCACCTCAGATTGGAACTTGAACCCACATGCCAGGACTCGAACCCGACCAAAACCCACACTCTTCCAACTGAGATCACACACCTGGTTTCAGGACTTAATGAAGCTCAGGTTCTTGATGTTTCATTGCAGAAAGTATTCAATGAGACAAAGTGATAGGTAAGAGGTGGATTTAGAGAGACACATACTCCACAGACAGAGCGTGGGTCACCTCAGAAGGCGAGAAAGGCCCCAGGGTGTGTGGGTTGCCAGTTTTTACAGGGGTGGGTGATTTCATAGGCTAATGAGTGGGGGGAGTGTTCCAGCTATTTTTTGGGGGGGGGGCAGGGATTTCCAGGAATTGGGCCACAGCCCACTTTTTGATCGTTATGGATCCTTGGAACTGTCATGGTGCCTGGGGGTGTGTCACTTAGCTTGATGGCGTGCTGCAGTGAGCGTATACTGAAGCTCAAGGACTAGTGGAAGTTGACTTGTCCGCCATCTTGGACCCATTTGGTTTTAATCAGTTTATGTCATGTCCTTGGGCTTTGTTGTTCTTTCAAAGGTTGTGCCCTGCCCCCTTCCCTCCTGTTTCAGTTCTCTTTGGGCAGCTCCTGCCTCCCCTAGGAGCTCCACCACTGCCTGCTCCCTCCCGAGTTGGCCCTCAAAGCCACTGAGCAGTGGTTATGATAAATTATGATTAGTGGCGTCCAAGGGTCAGTGTTCAAAGGTGATGGCAAAGGAGCGCTCCACCCCCAGGGGAAGCATGGGTGGGGGGTTGGGAGCCAGGCCAGGCCCTCCGGCTCAGGGGCTCAGGGGCTCAGGGCCTAGGCTGGGCCCTGGACGTGCATGGGGGGCTCTGTGATGCTCAGCTCCTGCCGTAGAGCCTTCAGGGGCTGCTCCCAGCGCCGCTCGTAGTACAGGTTGAGGACACACGGGGCTCTGCGTGCATTCTGAACTGCCCATGGGATCAGCTTCGAGACCAGCACTTGCAGGTTTCTGTAGGGCAGCAGAGGAAAAAGAAGACAAAAGACATAAGGTCCTGAGTGCTGGGCACACCATGTTCCCTGCAGTGGATGTGCATTTTCTCAGTTAATCCTCACACAGACCCAAGAAGGAGGTAGTTGCTATCCCCACTTTTCAGATGAGGAAACAGAAACTCAGTGAGGTAAAGCCCTGTACCTAAAGCCACACATTTTGCACATGCCAAAGCCCAGCTTTAAATCGAGGGCTACCTCACTCCAGAAACTAATGCCAGATTGCATCCCCCTGGCCCCCCCAGTTCCCTGACTCTACTGTTCTCACCCGATACTGAGGCCTGGCCCCAAAGACCCTAGAGTCCTATGAAACGTCCAGGCTTCATTCATAGTCCTGGAGCCCCTGTGCCAGGCCAGTTTCACCTCTCTGCCCCATTCTTCCCATCCTGGATTCCTGAGGACCACTGGGGCTGCTCAGAAAGGCTGTGGGCTCTTCTCTATTTCCTGGAGCCCTGAGCCTTCCCCTGACCCCTCACCACTTGAGAACTTACCGGGCACTGAGCTGGATCGGTCCGAAGAGTGCACTCAGGATGCACATGGGCAGGCCGGTCTGGACAGCCTCAAACCACTTCACCACGATCTCCCCTGGCAGGCAGGGTGGGGAATGGGGTGGGAGGTGAGCAGGGGCCAGGAGGAGAGGCCAGTGATGCTGCCGCTCAGGGCAGGACACAGTGAGGCATCTGCTCTGCTCCGAATCTCTACTAGGGGTCAGCAGTGCCCAGTCCCAGCCTGTGCTGGGCCCTGGGGCACTTGGCTTGGGGTTGGGGAGAGGGTGCAAGAAAGAGCAGAAGGAAATAAGGGCTGGAAAGGAAGCTTGGGGTCAGAATGCAGAGGACTCCGAAAGCCAGGCTGAGGACTCCAAGCCTTAGGGAATTGCTGAGGGCTTCAGAGCGCAGGGAGCTAACAACCGGAACAGGGCAGGGAGCCCTGGTGTTTGGATGCTGCTACATCAGTGTAGGAGCCGTAAGAGGCAGTGGGGATGCAGGATAGGGGATGCGCGGCACAGGTGCACCAAGATGTTCGGGTAAAGCAAACAATGAGGCACTGGGCCAGCTGATTGGTGGGTGGCTGGACAGGTGTGCCCTGCCCTTGCCCCGAAGACAGACTTGGGAGACACGCTGGCCGGAGCGCCCTGCCCCACCCATGCCCCACGCCCACTCCAGATGCACTCAGCAGCTGGCTGGCTGGCACTCACCCAGGATGTTGGTGGGCATCCCCAGCAGCGTGTGGAGCATGTCGTGCACCTCCCGGTACCGCTGCATCACGTATGCCAGCTCCTCACTGTCCACGAACCGGGTGGGCGCTCTGGTGTCTGGGGAGACCCTCTGACAACCATGAACCTCCCCTAGACCCCTTCCTGATGGCTCCCAGGGTCCAATTTGCCAGCCTCTCCTTGACTCTCAACCACGCCCACCAAATTCAAACCCCACCAAAAATCTCTGGGGACTTTGTTTCTGTGCATAGCTGCTGACAGGGGAGTCCTCAGGCAGGGAATATGGTGGATTGGCGCCCCCTTTGCCTACCCCAACTCACACATAATGTACACACCCTGTTGGAATCTATGGCAAAGAAACCCCTGGGGGTGGGGTGGGGGGAAGCAGTTGTTGTTTGTTTAATGATATAGAGTTTCAGTTTTACAAGATGAAAAGGCTCTGGAGATTGGTTTCACAACAATGTGACTATACTTAACACTGTTGAACTGCCCATTTAGAGATGGTTAACACAGTAAATCTTAGGTTATTATTATTTTTTAAAACCACAGTTAGAAATAAAATAGGGGGGGAAAAACAAGAAGCACCCAAAGTCCCGAATTCGTCAGATGAGCTGCTCCCAGCCTAGGATGCTCTTCCCCTCCCCCCTCCCCCTCACCTTGACAATTCCTACCTATCTTATGGTCTCTTGCAGCAACCCGTACCTTTTTGTGGCATTCGACATGATTGTATCGTGACGTTTAGTGCGTGTGACTGTTAACGTCTCTGTCTAGACCTGCACTGTCCAGTACAGCAGCCAATCATGGCAGCCACTGAGCCTTGAAATGTGACAAGTTCCAACTGAGATGTGCTGTACATGTAATGCGCACCCTGGATTTCGAAGACGGTATGAAGAGAATAATGTGAAATCTCAATAATTTAAAAATATTGATTACATGTTGAAATGACATTTTAGTATGCTGGGTTAGACAACACATCTCATTGAAATTAATTCCACCTGCTTCTATTTGCTTTTATGTATCTGCTAGCAGCAGATTACCTATGGGGCTTACACACTGTTGCTATGAAGAGTGTTGCAGCAGGCTGTCAGCAGCACAGGATGCATAGGACGGGGGCTCACTGTTCTATCTCCAGGGCCTGGATGAATAAACATACCTTAAATGCAGGAGTAAAAGGCCAGCCCCAGGCACTTTTCTGACCTCAGGTAGGGATGGCAACTGTCCTCCTTTACCCACCCTCTCTGAGTCCTTGGCAGCACCCATGCACAGTAGGGACACCCTGGTCTTCCTAGTGCCAAAGCATGGCCTCAGCCTGTCCAGAGGCCAAGGGATTTGATGCCTTTATTGCTTGGGGCTGCTGGCCCTGTGCCATGGTCTGTGTCTGTGACTTCATTGGGTCCCAGGTCCTAATTTCTTCTACAGAGTTCTACCTGCTGTGTGAAGCTGAAGGTGGTCAGTGACGGCCTACATTTATTGAGTACCTACTATGTGCCAGCACTGTATGAAGTCCTTTACACATATCGTCATTCTGCATCCCTGAGACCACCTGGGC